TGCAACGTAATTTTTCACACGCAGGTAAGAGAACTGATTCTCGATGACTATCAAGGATCGAATCCGGTGAAAGACGAAGTCGAGGAGAAGAGCAAATGCAAAACTATGCTGAGTGACATTGTGGAGAATAGCAGACAGCTATTTATAACGCCCATTCTTCGCTTCACGATAATATCTATTGTTATTAATTTCACCTTTCACATTGGTTATTACGGTCTCATGATGTGGTTTCCGGAACTGTTCAATCGTTTCGACGAATTCCACCATGATCAACCGGGCGTAGTGGCCTCGATATGCCAGGTCACCGATTATGTCGTTAATAAGGGTTCGCATAGTATCGAGAATGTTTGCTCCGATAAAATCGGAACATCCGTCTTTATGGAATCCCTTATCACAGTGGCGTCCGCTATACCAGCCAACATCATCGCTGTCCTGGGGATGGATCGCCTTGGGCGTAAATTTTTTCTAGGTATTTCACACAAAAAAAAATATAGCAGAAAGCAATATAAAAATATTTTATCGCGAAAAAACACGATATTTTATATTGAGTATTTTTTTTAAATATTTTTTTTATACTATATATATATACATTTATAAACACAACAACCTATGTACTTCCTTGCAGTGTTCAGCACATTCTCGTCGGGGCTTTGCTCGATCGGTTTATATTTCGTATACAATAAGTATCAGAATTTGATCGTATCAGCTATCTTTAGCGGTGCGATAAGTTGCGGTAACGCGGCTCTGGATTGTCTCATTACTGAGGTATTCCCGACGCAATTGCGTGCAACCGGAATTGCCATATCAATGGTCGCCGCCCGCCTTGGCGGGATAATTGGTAATATAGTTATAGCCCAGCTTCTGGACATGTATTGTCCGGCACCGACCTTCATAGTGGCTGCTCTCCTGATTGGTAAGCACGTTTATATATAATGTTCTCTTTTCTAATTTTTATATTCAATTCTTATTTTTAAATTCTCAATTTTATATACTCTATTTTTCGCAGGAGGAGGTTTACTGTGTTTATTCCTACCGAACACAACGCGCGAACCACTTTCCTGACCCCAGCAGAAGTCTACATCCATCAGTCTACAATCATTTATGTATTTCTTTCGAATACAAGCGTCGCGTTTAATTTTAAAGGTTCTTGACAATTCAAATACAGCATTGTATAAAGTAAAATTTAAAGTTCGAAAATATCCTCATTTTGTAAGTAGAAAACTAAAGAATCTCTGTTGTTCATAATTATCTTTATTAGATAAAAGGAAAAAAAGATTTTTAAGCAAAATATTGCAGCGGAATAGTGAAGAAAATATAAATGTAGCATCTAAGATGCTATAACCAGTACAAGAGAGATGTAATAGAATTAGATACTTTAGTAAAATTTTCTATATATATATATTGATATATTATAATCACACAGAATTTAGATAAAATAATTAAAATATGAATTAAATATGATATATAAGTAGTAAACTAATACATTGTATAATTTTCGTATATCCCTCTATATACACAAAGAAAATTTTACAATTACACAAATTACATGAAAAATACGTTCCCTTTTACATTTTTTGTAAAGCGGGGATATAACATTAGGATATTTATTACTATAAAAATTGTAAATTATGCATTTGTTTTATTATGTTTGTTAATGATTACGCATTTGTTTATCAAAATATTTGAATGATTACAATACTCCTTTGTAAAATATAATACGTATATGTTATTAAATAAAAATGTCGTAATTTTTCTTGTGAATTTTCACAATTAGAAAAAATCATAATTTTTATTTTCTCCGTGTATATGTTGAAGATATCTATACAGAAAAATTTAGTGCTAAAATGATATAATTTATTATTCTACTTGCAATAGATATAATTTGATACATATTTATCATAATATATAAAATAGCTTAAAGCCAGCATAAAAAGAGATTTCTTTTGAAACATGTTTTTTTGTATACTTTCCTATAACTTTTTTTTGTTATATCATAACATACATACAATTAAATACATGTTGAGCATGTTGAAATAGAATAGGAAGTAAATAAAAAGACAAAATATGAAGTAGATTTTCATTTTTTTCAGTATATTTAACATGTCCACATAAAGTATGAAATTATTCCCTCATCATTTTTTCCTTTTGTCTAGCAAGCTTTTTCTTGCTAAGCTTCTTTTTTGATGGCTCTTCTTCTGTCGCTTTCGCAACAACATCCTCCTTTTCCGTTAATATCACTTCAATGTGACAGGGCGAGCTCATGTAAGCTATAAATATTACAAATCATAATAATAATATACATTTCAATAAAATAAATTTTTAAAGAATCAAATTCTTTTATGATGGATGCACACTTACGATTTATACGACCATGAGCTCTATATGTCCTTCTGCGAAGACAAGGTGCATGATTAACCTGAATATGTTCAACTACAAGACGATCGACATCAAGTCCCTTATAATCTGCATTACTTTCTGCATTTTTCAGAAGCTGCAGCAGAAACTCTGCAGACTTTTTAGGCCAACGACCTAAAATAACAACAAAATTGTTATAAATATATTTTAACTAAAATTAATCTTCCTGACAGCTCAAAAAAGTACACGTAGAAATTTTGCATACCTTGCGTAGTACCAAATTGTTTGGCTTGGGCACATCTTCCGACACCACCATTGAACCTACGGAAAGGGACACACTCCTTATGTTCGACGACATTTTTCAGGTATTTCTGCGCCCTTCGCAGAGCCATACTTTTGATAGCACGTGCTGTTTCATGAGTGTTCTGCAACATAACGAGAGAAATACCGATTGTAAACATTGATCTCTTTTACGAGAGGTTATGTTTCTTCGAAAAAACCAAGAGAAAAATATTTACCTTAAAATGCACGCGAAGATTGGAGCCGCGTGCCTTGCACGACTTGGTCTGGTTGACCGGTTCGTGGGAGTAACGACCCATTGCGTCCTGAAATCACAGATAAATCGATCACGATTCTTTTCAAGTTTGCTTTCTATGCGACCATAAGTATGACGATCAGCAACAGTCCGTCATGCCGTATTTCTCTCGCAATTTTGCGTCATTTATCGTGAACGAACGCAACATTTATCGCGTCTAGATTGTAGCTCGAGACTTTCTATTCGAGAAATTATCTTTCGAAGGATGCGTATTTCAACGCTGAGCTAGATGCGAACAGATTCGAGAAACATGACATCGTAGGCCGATACATACCTCTTGACACCACGATTTTGAAGGAAAAAGTCGTCTCTCGTAACTAGCAAGTGGCGTCCGACTTCCTGTACCCACCCAGGTGCGCCAACTGAAAACCAGACAAGAGTCTCATGCGCGTATACGACATCCGACAACAACGATTAATGAAATATCTCCAGTATATTCTTTGTACAAACGTTTTAAACGACATCGCATTTCCAATATAATTAAATAATATTGTCATATCGTGATAAATATGTTTTTTAAATATTTTTTTACATGTAATTATGGGAGCTTTTCAGTAAGAAAACAGATAGACACAATGTCACGCAATTGGCTATTAAATAGAGAATTTTTAAAGACCCTAAAATTTTCCTATTTGACAGCTAATCATATGATTTTGTGTTTATGTGCTCTGTTGATAGTACCTTTTTGTATGTGGAAGTTGTATTTCTGAAGTTGGTACTCTGTTATCGCAAATATCAATTTGATTCGTTGTGTCGATTATCAATTATCGATTGTCGATTCAAGCTAGATTAGTTTGTGATGTGAGTAATCAGGATAATGATAAGCAAAGATAGATATTATATGTGGGTTGTGTTTTATTTAGTAATATATAATATATATTTATTTAATTAATAATACATTATATACGAATGAACGTATACGTATATAAATGATTTTTCACTACTGGCAAATACCTGACTATCCATTTTGGAACATAGGTGTATGTTTATATTCATTCAGATGAAACTCAAATTTTTCAAAATTATTCCCGCAGAGTAAGATAAAGTCTATATATCTATATGTATGTACTGATATAAATTATATTATAAATTATAATATATATTCTTTCATTCCAGAATTTTAATTTGACAAATTACGGTGTACCTTTTTGTTGATATAATGCTCGAGAATAATAAGATAGTGGTATTATGTAAAGGATTGTCTGAAATGAGTGACAAACAAGAAATGTATATAAAGACATTGGAATCTGCTGGTTATACCTGCGAATGTTTACAGACTTTGCGATTTGAGTTTGTGAATATTTCAGAATTGCGAGCATGTTTGTCAACAGCAGATAAGTACAGTGGTAATATATATTGGTTGTATATATTATTCTTATTATATCATCAATTATATACTTTTTATATTTTGTAAATTTATGTTATAGGTTTAATATTAACGAGTCCGCGTACAGTTGAAGCTATTTCATTGGCGGTAAAAGGAGATGCAAATATTCTATACCATTGGCAACAGATACCAGTGTATTGTATAGGACCTGCAACTGATTCTCTTGCAAGAAATCAGCTTAACTTGCAACATTGTATTGGTAGTGAATCTGGTAATTCAAAACAACTGGCTGAAAGAATTATTCTTGATATAAAAAAAGATTCAAAACCATTATTATATCCATGCAGTGAGATTGCACGAGAAACTGTAGCATGTATTCTTAACAATAATGGAGTTACAATACAAAAGATTGTGGTTTACAGAACATTAGCGAGTGAGTTGTTGGAACAGGATTTATCAAAAATCCTTAAAAAATCTCCTAGCATATTTGTTTTTTTCAGTCCATCTACAGTAGAACATGTTACAACACAACTTAAAAGAAACTCTTCTAATGTAAAAGATATAAAAGCAGTAGCAATAGGTCCTGTGACAAAAAATGCATTAATTAATTCTGGATTCAATGTATATGCCACTGCAGATAAACCAGAACCAGAAGCTTTGATGCGTGCAATCACAACTGCTGAATGTATGGAAAATTTAACTGAAAGCATTTGATGATAATATGATATTAATATTATTTATTACTAATAATCTCAGTACATATTGGATCTCTTTTTGTGCACATCATTGTCCATTTATATAAACAGTAAAACAGATGCAGATATATATAGATGAGTAAAACTTTTAATGATCATAAAGTTATTTCATTAAATTCAATATCTGTTACGATTTACAACATTACCAAGAAGGCACGAAATATCCGAACCAACTATCGCGGATTGATTCGCATAATAAGGCTGAGGAGCGTTTCCTCCGTTATTGTATTTCATTTGAACCGCCGTTTCGTAATCGGGCGCCGGTCTATACGACGGTAATAACGCGCGCAAATTATTTATATCCGTTGACGAAACAGATACGACAGGATACGGTGATGTCGAAAGATCGTTGTAACTTGTCCACCGCATATGACTGTCCGCGGCTCGGTTATCCAAATTCACGGATACCGTTTGCTCGCTTGAATCGTTTGTATCATTATCCTGAAACGATATATTGTTTTTAATTATATAGTTAAACTGATACTGTATAGTCACACAAATGCTCATTTACGCACAAAGTAGCCATTGGATCTTTCTAGAGGACGATGTTCTTGATATTGCATATAAAATGTGTGTTGAGCTATACATAATCTCCATATATATTTTGCGTTACGTGATTCAGTAAATACAAATTGTTTCGCTTCTTCACCCTCCAATTGGCATTCTATTCTAAACGTTTTCTTATGATTTATGACATTACTGATATCTCTCCATCTGCAAGATATAAAATTATCTAATATATTGTAATGTTTTTAGTATATCTACAAAGCTACATATATATATACACACACACACAAACACACACACGTGTGTGTGTGTATAGAAGTAAATTAACCTGTAAAATTGCGTTTGTGTATTAGGATAGGCCACCATAATCCCATTGATGGAAATTCCAAGAATAACTTTATTGTTACTGTTATCCTGAAATATATATTTTTGGCATAATTGAAACAGCAAGTAGAGTAATTGAGAGATGTATCGTGGTATATTTACTTTGGCAGTAAATGTTTCATTGCCATATCCTTCCAGCTGCATGACAATTGAGATATACAGTTCCTCTGCGCTAGCTTGCGTAACATTGGTAAGACTCTTGTACTGACATATCGCTGTATGTAAGAGAGAGTCTTGTCCACCCGAATCAATCTTGATCACTTCCTAAATATAGAAACAATATATGTAGGAGTATATGAAATTGTGATTAGAGTAAAATCTTAGAGTAAAGGAATAAGGAATTAGAGCAAAAATCTTGACAAGCATGAAAATTAATGTTACATTTGGAAAGAAAGTACACTGCTGGAGACACTCGACTGTATGTCTTTCTGGACTATAGTTTCCAAACTCAGCTTGCATAGAATAGCTTGCTAATAGACAAGCCTGTCTAGGATTACAATGTATTCTGTCTTCTAATATATCACTCTTCAATTGAAGATAATAATGATATCTGAAAGAAAAGAAAAAGAAGTATTTAAAATTATACTTGTTTAAAGATTTACATTGCTCAGACAACTAATAAATACCTTGTCATTTCATCTTGAATGAATTGGACATCTGTGACATAGTACATAACTCTTAAGTAAAGTGTAAAGTTCTTGGCATCCTTTTCAAGTTGTCTCTTTAAAGGTTTATCCATGTCCACCCAACGCAACGCTGGGTTACCATGACAGTAAACATAACGTAAACCAAAAAATTCTGGTTGTCCCAATCCTAAACGCTGTGTCACATTGTTTAGGCATTCTTGACCAACACTGTCAATACTGAGTGTGCATTCTATAGAAGTAGCGTCTAACAATTCGACACAAATCACATACTGATTCTTGGACACAACATTGTACTGTCTGCTTTTTTTTAAATGGAACTTGAATGGCATTTTTATAGTTGCAAAGTAACTAAAAGATATATAAACATATTATATAAACAATTTAAAATCCAAAAGTTTAAAGTAAATATAATAATGCAAAAAAACTGGAGGTTAAGAGAAATTTTGATATATAATATGTTGTTTTACTATATATTGCATAATGTAAAAAAATTATATAGGCTCAATTTATAGTAAAATCTTATAATGATGAATTAATAACGTAATATGTTAATTTATAAGAAACTTGAAACATATGTACTTTTTTTTCATTCTGCATGTATGCAAACTCACCCAATGTCTTAAAATATCGTACACTCATCACTTTTCTATATAAGCATCAGGTATTTGACAAGCGTATATATATAAGATAAACATGTGTATTTTGACAGCTATTATTTGACACCTCGCTATCTATATCTGTATCAATCAGTATCAGTTGTAGACATGAAATTGCTTTCAACGTAAGATAATAGTACTTTTTACGTAAATACACAGCTTCGTATACACACACACAATTATCTATTTTCTTTACTTTTCCATTTTTTTTATTGGTGAAAAAACTTTATCCGTTTTTCTCATTTATGCGTGTGTACCGTGCGTACTTTCATTCATTTACAATGAACATCGTGAGAAAGCGTCGTATCTTGTATCTTGCATCGTTGAACGAGTATCGGTGCCGAGATATCGAGAAATTGAGAGAAAGGTATATCGATACTTTCTGTCAGAGAGTCAAAGTGTCAGAGTAATGTCAGTGACCATTGCTGTGTGCCACACAGCTGGCTGTCCGTTGCTGTCGCAACAATTTAAAAAGGCGATAACAATTATTGCGCGAGTCGATCTGACAATCCGCTATCAATAATGAGAAAACGGATATATCGTTTCACGCGCCGATGCACACGCCTACCGAATGTTGATAAGGGACAGCAAATCCGCGAATAGAGATTCCCCGCGCTGCTGGAGCCTTGATTTTTGTGTCACATGTTTCTGCATGTTCTTCGCACGTGAGGAAAATGAGTATTCTGAGAAAGAGGTAAGGCCGTCAAAATTCTCAGGTAGATAAGAGTCTGTATCTGTGCGTTAACGAGAGGGATATTTTGCAGATTGAGCGAATTCGACGACGTTCTTAACGCAGAGGAAATAGATACCGTCAGTCTCGGAAAAATATGTTTCCATGGTACGTTTGCCACATATGATTTCATTCCAATATGCTTATCGCGATGATTCTGACATTGTGAAATTTTATGTAAGCTTTCTCTAATAATCTGATTTTTTTTTATTATAGGTATACCTGACGAGCCTGGTGGCCTAAGGCCTCTATGTTGGAAGTTATTGCTGAACTATTTGCCACCGAAAAGGTCCACTTGGTTGGAGACTCTGAAGCGCAAAAGGGAGTTGTATAACACCTTCATTGGTAAGAGAAACAAATGACGTTATGATGAAAATAATTTATAACGCTTAAAACTGTGTTATATATAATATTTTTTAATTTTCATTTGATTGTAGAAGATCTCATTGTTATGCCTGGAGAATCTAATACAGATGACAAAGAAAGAGTTGATGTAACGTTACACGATCATCCTCTCAACTTAAATCCAGACAGTAAATGGCAAACGTACTTTAAAGATAATGAAGTTCTCCTTCAAATTGATAAAGATGTTAGGTGAATAATAGATCATATAACCCTGCGTAAAAAACAACTCTGTTAATAAGAATACAAAATTAACTGTATAAATTGTATTTATACAGACGGCTATGTCCAGACATATCATTTTTCCAACAAGGAACCGATTATCCATGTCAAAAAATAGTGAGTGCTAATGGCCAGCAACGTTTACACAATAGAGTTCAACATACTGTACTGAAAAGTGCAAATGTTGAAAGAAAGGGATTAGGAGTGACCAAGGTAACAAACTATGAACAATTAAGCTTCCATCATCAACTTTTTATTAAATTTATTAATAGACTTTACTTATGCTTGCCTTTACATTAATGGACGGAAAACAGCAGGTATTATAAATGATGCAGAGTAATATGTTCTACTAAAATTTAGCATTCTTAGAAAAAAAAAGTCTATATTATATATTTTTATATCTTTTATATAGATATATAGATATTATATAGATATATGTTGTACACAGAGATATCAGTAGTTCTAAACATTCTGCAGATATGATATATGTTATCATGCTGTATTATATTTTATCTATTAGATAGCAGTCTCTGTCAGAAAGGCTGCAGAAGATTATGCACCATTGGCTGAAGGCGGTGAAGCACATTGGGAAGTTTTAGAGAGAATACTTTTTTTATATGCCAAGTTGAATCCTGGTCAAGGTTATGTGCAGGGTATGAATGAAATAGTTGGACCGATATATCACGCATTTGCTTGCGATCCAGATCCAACATGGAGAAGTGTGTATTACAATATGAGAACACCCCCTGAACAGCATTTGCTGATGGTAACAAATATTTTTCGTTTTACAGAATATGCTGAAGCAGACACTTTTTTCTGTTTTACCAATCTAATGGCCGAAATACGTGATTTCTTTATAAAGACGTTGGATGAAGCTGAATTTGGAATTAATTCAATGATGAGTAAATTGACGAATCAAGTTAGAGCCAATGATCCAGATGTTTGGTTGCGTTTGCATCAACAAGAACTGTGTCCGCAATATTACAGCTTTAGGTATCGTATATTGATGATTATCATCAATATATTGTCGCGATTCTCGTTTTTATTTTGTTATTCTCCTGTTTGGAACAAGATGGTTGACACTTCTTCTTTCGCAAGAGTTTGCCCTGCCAGATGTTATGAGGATATGGGATTCCTTGTTTGCTGATGAGAATAGATTTAGTTTCCTCATACATATCTGCTGTGCCATGATTCTGTGAGTAAAAAAATTTTGTCATGTCTACAGCAATAATCTTTGTCGTTCTCTAGCACACGTATATATATTTTTAGATTATTAAGGGACCAGTTACTGGCTGGCGACTTTGCTACAAATGTTAAACTCTTACAGGTGAGAGGGTATATGCATTTATATTTTTATTATAGAAAATGTAAAAAATAATATATTCTATATATATTTAGAATTTTCCATCGATGGACATCCAAATTGTGCTCTCTAAAGCAGCTGCTTTGGCGGGCAAGAATTTATAGGTTTTTAAATAATTGTTTTCTTAATTAAGTCATAAAAAATTAAGTTCCAATGATTTTTTGGCATCTCGAATGTCGTGATCTTTGTCTCTCCTCTTTCTATGCTGTGCGCGGCATATAATCATGAATGCACTATTTTAGAGGAGAGATGCAATAAAATATCAATTAAAATATAATAATATCATGTATATAAAATTGTATCGATGATTCGATAAAAGATGCAATTGGCATTTATGTTATATCAGATATTTAATACACACAATTGTATATATGATATATAATATGGACTCGCGCTCAACGGATATTGAGATTTATATACAACATTTTTGGTGCCACATGTCAAACTTTTGATACATTTAAAATGGTGTTTGTACATACATAACGTTACATTAGAAAATAATACGGCTGAAGACTTTAAAAGATAAATTTATACTATCGCGATAATATATATAATATATATAATCATTTCGTAAGCGCAGATAATGATAAGATGAGGATTAAGTTGAAGAGGGAATCTGATTTAAGCTTTCCGATTGTCCGACTCAACATGAATTTTGCAATAATGATCGTATCACGGTAGATTAGTATCATTTATATACGCGCCATAATAATTAAATAATGCGTTTAAGCGAAGATATATATTAAATTTTATAATATTATTTTTATAATAAAAAAATGCGAAACGTTTTCGAATTACATTTATAAAATAAAGGGAAATGTTATATATTAGTTTTCCACCGGATATATGAAAGGGTTTCCTTTATCGTATTCCATCCTACGTACGAGTATCTACACAATTGGATTACTGTGCAAACGATCGACGACGCAACTCGGACCTTCTAGAAGGATAGGAAATCAAATATGCGTTCTTCATTTTACTCGCGAAGAGCGTGCGCGCGCGCGGTGATCATTATTGGATTAATAAAGCCGCCGCGTTCCCGAGCAGAATAAACCGAATTTCTGGATTTTATTTCATCTCGTCTCACTTTGCACAGAGTAGAATGATTGACCCGGACGACGACGGGAATATTAATCAGGAAACATTTCAGTTATTCGTGCGCTGAAGCTACTCGGGCATATTTCTATCGCAGTCTGCGTAATGCAATAGACGTAAACTTAAATTGTTATCACAGAATAAGACTGGAAAAAAATTAGATATGCATGTAGTTGAGAGAGAATTATATATATTCTCTGTTTGTATCGCGAAATTAAAAATAGCGCTAATAATATTCCTGCGTGTAAATAGCATAGAAAATTATATGAGAGCCAGCTGAGTCTCGGTGATCTTCGTCACCGACGTGTTTCTTTGGGGCGGATACGCATGACCCATAGTTGTCGTGTCACGGGCCCCGCGTGGCGAATCGCTGTCGTATCTCGAGATTTTGAGGATAGACGCGCACACCGCGATCCGAATACCGGGCATAAAAATCGTGCAAGGTCCCAGAATAAAAAAGCACGCGCTCTCGTGTGGGTGGACTTTTATGGCGGTTGATTACCTGATTTATAATCTCAATTCGTGTCCAAGGCTCGGCGACGACGGTCGGGCTTGATCGAGCCGCGTAGCGGAGATCGAAGAGGCGCGTGCTTTTTATTCGATTCTAATTTACAGGTATATTGATACTTTTAGCAAAAATCCGAGATCAAATAAATCTTCATGCGCTAATATCTATGTTTTTCAGTGAACGTGAGTGTGTGATGTGTGCGGATGATAAGTACGTAGTGCGAGGCCGTAATAATAATCTGACGGCAATCAGAGTTTAATGAAGAATAAGAGGATCGTGTCCGGGAGGGGGCTGGAACGGAGCCCGGAGGCTCTAAAACTATACAAAAATTAATCGCACAGTAGACATCTACCTACCTACCGTAAACACGCCCCTGTCATTAGAGTCAAAACACGAAATTTATCTCGGCCAGTCCTATCGCCGCCGCGGACGGCTTTTCGTCTAATCAGAGATCGCGGGTTTTATGATCGGTGATACGATCGTTAAAAGATCAGCGCGCCGGCGAGACGGCTGCCGTCTTCTGGTAGTCGGGGATTCATCAGACTGTACGTACCGCCCGAGGATATACTCCATTGTTTTTGTTAAAAAAATTGCGGAATCATTTGTCTGAGAAAGAAAACGAATCTGGATGATTCTCGATGATTGCATTGTATTCTATCTACGGGAAAAAAGTAATAGGAAAACGTTCCCACAAATCTATAATCCACTACAATTTATATTACTTATAATTGTAAACGTTTTTTTCGAAATCATAAAAAATGAACGATTAATTCTTCGCGAAATTTGGCGCGTGGAGAGAAAAATCTTTCGCTACGCGTAAGATTTGATTTCTGTCGAATTTAACATGGGTTACCAGATTTCCCACGTCAGGCCGAGGAGGTGACACACGAAGCCACGAAGTTGACGAATGTGCCAAGATCGGTCGGGGATGACTTGGCAGATTGTTAGCCAGCATTCCCAGCGGTGGTCCCGGTGCGCCTGCATACGGCACGGATTGATGGATCTTGACCTCTCAAAGGAGTGCTTCGGCACGCCTTTCGAGACGTGATAGATTCGTGCGCGACCTAATACGGACTTGGGAGTCGCGAAAGAATAGCGATCGATCCATTGTGTCTCCCCTTTCGTTAAAACATTAAAAACTTTCAACTTTTGTACGCGATTTTTGTGATATAAGCTTCAAGTGTAAAAATTTTTTTATTTCGCAGAGAGAGAGAGAGAGAGAGAGAGAGAAAAAAGAGCCCTGCTTATGACGATGTATAGCATGCTTAGGGTCTTTATCACACTTTTTAAATTTAGTTACAAGGCGAGACATAAAGACGCTATCGTGTGGGGGGTGTGACACATACACAGTACTGTTTACAGTTAATTTACCGTGCTATGCCATGACATGCTATCTCCTATTCGTTGGTGGTCCAATGTATCAAGGATCTCAATCGTTTATCTGTGTCGGTGGATACGGTCAGCGTTCGCGTCGTCTCTAACTGTCATTTCGTGCATTGTACACGGATCTTATACCTCTCTCTCTCTCGTGCCGCGCGCGCGGAAGACGCGTCACGACGTTACAAGTCGATTTTATATTGCCGCATACGTCGTCCCATTACATAATAACTTGCTGCTATCCGCCGAGAGCCGATCCGTGTAGATTATCGGCATTCGATCGATAGACGCCGACAACCGTCGCCGTTGCGTTCGCCGCGCGCGATCGATCTTCGGGGAGGATCCTTTGGTCTCGCCGCCATTCATCCCTCCTCTCCGTATGTGTACGAGCCTCATTTCCGCACGCAATGTCCGGTGATGCGACACAGATATTGATAGAAGGATACATATACATCTTTGCTCAATTCATCGCGGAATCAATTCTTTCGGAATTTTAACGACTATGCGGACACTCGTCTCTGCACATGTGCGGATATGTCAGAATTTATAGTACGGATCTGCTCTCTCCGAGAAAATTCAATGAGGGACTATCCTTTTCTCGAACGGAACGCATATCGCGCAATAACGAAATCCTCATCCCCTGCTCCCGTTACGAGCCACCCTAGAGTTTAGCCATCTCTAATGAACTGCTAGCCCGTTAGTTAGCTCAGTTCTCTCTCTCTCTCTCTCTCTCTTTCTCTCTCCCCCTACCTCGCTATATGTACGTTGTATGTAGTCGTACAGCAACAGATATATAGTGTATACCTACACGTATATATCAATTCAACCCGGCGGATGCAGAGACAGAGAAAGAGAGAGAGGGCTTTGAAATGCGGAACGCGCGGTTCGTACACGTAGATACAAATAAATCCTGTTAGCTAGTACGCCGGCACACGAGAGCGCTGCAAAGCCGAATTTTCGTTGCTCGGCTCACATCTGCGAATATTTGCCCGTGGGTGGGTAGCGCATTACACCGACCCGTTGCAACCCGCGCTTGTAACTATCCGACTATTCCGACCCCGTGCGGCGAAACACACGCCACGGCTAAATCCGACAGTACACACACGCGATTGTACGATTCGAGTTGATACACGCCGTTCCTCGCGTCGTCGGGAGATAGAGAGACGAGGAGCGTAAATTTACATCTTTTACGGGATTACACTATGGGCCAATGGGGGTTGGCCACGAAGCGATCGACGGAGACGGATTAAGTTCGACGCTTACAACTGTAATAACAGACTCTCCCGATCGCCGTATCGACAACGGAACGCTTACCCTATGCACGCGACCAGTTTGTACTTTGCCTAGAAAAAAAATATTATCAGGTTCACTTTTTCTTTTTCTCTAATTTCTCCTTTATCTGTGTGTATAGCGTAGCAACGGTGATTTTCCATGATATGACATCGATGAATCTTTCAAGCGACATCGCGGATCGTTTGTCGAGGACAGGCTTGCATTAGCTAACCGTTATAAAAACGCGCGTGCGGGTTTCTTTGATGCAAACAATCAATCATCCATCCTGCCCGCTTCACTCGACTTTATTTTTCTGCGTCGCTCTCTCGCGTTTCTTAATTAGGCATTGCGATTTCAATCTTATCGCGCGACATCTTGCTCGTACGTGTAATTAACACGTGCTTTGATCGCTACGATAAGGAAAGACGGAGTTTCGCGTTGCAGGGGTTCTTTGTATGTATTGTCTCGTCTCGCGTATAGATTACACGTTAATCGCGCATATGGTAGATCGCGGACTCATGACGAATCGTCGAGAATACATAGCGTTCGAAAAACGCTAGTGTTATCTTGCAGATTTGTATCCAGAAATATCTGACGGATATTTGACATTAACAGAATTCGCACTTACACCTGATCAACGTTTCGCGTATGGTAGCCATGCAACGCGATGGCGCATTCGAGGAAGGGATGGGATCCTGAAATTTCGCGAGGAGGATAAAGCCTCGCCTCCCGGAATGCTAAAAACAAGGGGGAAGGAAGGCGAAGGGGTTGCCGAGAGGCGGGAACCCTCTTTTAATTTTCTTTTAGCCGCCGCGTGAGCAGCTAATTTGCGGCTACGAGCTCGGTTTGACAGGAAGGAAGGAAGGAAGAGGAAGGAGGAAGAGGATGAGAGGCAGGGAAAGAAGCGATTGAGAAGCGGTGGGTTCACGCGGAGAGATATAAAGGAAGAAATAAATTTCTCTCTCTCTCTCTCTCTCTCTCTCTTTCTTTCTCATTGTGATTTGCATGCAATGAATTTCCAATTTGATCGGACGCCCTTTGATGCCTTGCGCCGATCGCGGCTTGATTAACGCACGACTGCGCGCGCGCGCGTATCTTTCCGAGTTTTTTCTGTCGCATAGACGGTCTATCAATCGCCATTATTGCGGTTACACGATGTAGCGAGACAATCACCGAGAGACAATTTATCTATTGTACACGTAAATAACACTATATTATTTTCAGTCATTAAAAATATCAGATTTCTACAAAGAAAGAGTAAGAGAGAGAAAGAGAGAGGCGTCGATCTTTATCGCCCCGCCGTTGTTTCATGAATACACATGCGAGCAAACTTCGCATTGACCGAGGGGTGCCGACAAGTGGACCGAATAATATTGCACGGCGAGAGGGAACCGTGTAAAAGGAGAATCGTGGCGGATTCTAAGCCTGAGGTCACTCGGTATCCGCCTAACTCGATCGTCGATAGTTCATTTAACATCGCGCGAGGATTAGAGAAATTTCGGAGTAGCGCTGCGGAGTTTAGGTAATCCGGAATTACGATGAGATACATGTGTAATCGAAAAGTGTAACGAAATATTGTACAACAGAAAAGTGATGGAAATAAAAATCGACAAAGTTTAGAATTGATAAGAATATGTGAAATATCTAAATGAAAGAAGTTTCGAATTTTTTATTTTTTTTTTTTTATTGGTCCCTCGGGATCAATGATCGTAATGCCATTCGTAATCACCGTCAATAACTGAAATTATCGTTTCAGAAATTACGGGGCTGCGCACTTTTCTCCCATTAATCCACCCGTGGCCGATATATACTCGTCGAATTGATCAATCGCCTGGACCAGTCGAGGGTGCATATTTAGCGGATATGGAGGACACGGCGAGGTAAGCCTGTGTCGATCGAACACTTATCGTATATATACATATATGTATATATGTGTATGCGCGAATAGAGACTCGGACAGGCGCGTTGTAAGAGAATTATTATCTCGGTTTTTACGCGATGACACTCGCTGAGCGAATTGTATCTTCGATAACGTTCTTATACATACACACAGATATCTCTCCCAAAAAATATTCCGCTCGCGTACAATACGCTCCGCTCAGAGAGATGTTTGGGATTTGGGATTTGGAATTCTCGATTCTCCGTCAGGATGAAAGATACGGAGGAGAGACTCGAGTGAGGGTGAAGTCTCCGGCTACTATGGATTGGTGTACGTGCGGACGTGTATTCGCGAGAATCGCGAACTGTCGTAACGCGGCGACGAAGGGAGAAAGGCACGGAAGAATGAAATGATCGAGTTATGCCTGATTGCCGCTTGTTGTTCCAGCTCGATAAACCGGACCCGAACTCGGACCGAATTCACCCCCTGTTCTCCCCAATTTTGCCGAATCCTGCTTACTGCCCTTCGCCTCGGAGTAATCGTCTCCGAAGAGGAGGCCTCTCTCGAAGACGATGCACGCAACCAGAAAGCAATTTTCGTAACTTGCCTCAATCTTCTTCGACTACGATCGGTACAAATCTTTTTCTCGATAACAGAACCTTAATTAATTTTCACGGTGCAATCGGTGGCCCTGGCTCGGGGCTCGAAATTATTTGAATTTTAATTCTTCTTTTAATTCGACGAATACAATTTATTATTTTTTACGACAAAATAGTTCAGAAGTATATGTACAATGCTTTGGATTTTATAATCTTAATACGATGAGTATCGATATACCCGCCACTTGTCGGCCACATATCGTTAACTTCGCGAGGAATATTTTTCAGCCATCGGCCAAAAGCTCAACGACGGTTGTCAACGACGGTTAATTCGGCGTGTAACCGTACGCGGGATCGAGTTAACGTTAAGATCAAATTGGATTTGGCGCCGGCGCTGGTCTGGCTAAAACTTAGTCATCCGGCAGGACCCTCTTAATCCGTTTACGCTCCTTCGTTCTGGATCCTGCCGTCTGCATCTCCGCGACTACGTTGACAGAGAAATAAAGAGAACGGGGTCGGAGATGGAAAGAGAAACAAAAAAAGATCGCTTTATTGAGACGGGGGTAACGTCTACGAATATCGGTTCAATGGGAACAAAATTAAATGCGGGCGAAGGAGAATAATATCCGTTTTCCAGAAAGTGCCGACGCTGTGGAATTTATCGTGGGATAAACGCGAGAGAGAGAGAGAGAGAGAGAAAAGTGAAGAACAGACTTTTCGTTAGCATTGCACTTGAAGAGCGAGAATTTAATCCTTTTAAACAATGCCTTCATGAAGTAATTGAAGCTATAAAGCTAAAAAAGAAAATTTAAAATTAATACGATAATACAAATTTAAGTTGTTTTCACATATTTATATACGTATATCTATAACATTATACAAAAATGTACATACATAATTAATTATGTGGTGCGCTCTTCACTAATATATTGAAATATTTACTTGCAGGATTGACGATTTCTTCTCAACGCTACAAGAAGATAAGGCAACCGGTATCTAGCCTTTTCGCCCCGAGGCCACTTATCCGTAAAATTTCCGGGAGATTCGCGACGATTCGCGGAACGTTGCGGAGGCGGCATGGAACGGACACGCCCAGCGTCGCGACGCTTTTATCGATCAACAAGACCACGGCCGAATTTACGCGAACGGCCATTTTACTTTTCTGTCGGCTGATACGAGAGAGGATTGAAGAAGCAGGATCGCGCGCAAGTAATTCTACACAATTTTTTTGATCAGGCATACATAATCTGTCAACTTTTCTCCTTTTATTCCTACTATTCTGGACAAAAGTATTAGGGCATAACGCTCTTGATAATTAACAGACTAAGCTTATATTTTTATTAATCAATATTCGAATCTGTTATTCTGGTTAATGAACTTTAACGCGCAATCGTCGATGGTAGCACGATCCTTTTACGAGTAGAGCGCGTGATCGTTATCGTCCACGGAGTACGATACGGGGTACGTATTAGACCCTTAAGTGAGGCCACTAAGAATTATAGATTCTCGTACGTATCTCCGTACGGGGCGTTATCTCATATTTATGGGAGATGCCGAGAGCGCGCGACACGGAAACCGCATCTATCGGCGCGCATATTTTTAAATACTAATTCGGTGCACGCGCTTCTCTCTCTGTCTCGTCTACGGTGGTTTGTTCGACGCATCGCGTATGTTACATTTCGGATACGCGACCGGCTACTCCGTATCCTTTATCGGCGCAACGTTTTCGACTACATGGCAAAAACGAGCGGCGCATCCGGATCAAAGTAATCGCCGATTCTCCGTTCATGCAAATGACTTAATAAGGAGACCATGATTATTTGGGAGAGAATCCTGCGCGCGTATATACATGTAAAAATTTTCTTTTTCTTTTTGATGTTTTTATTTCTTTCTTTTACATTATCATTCTAGTTTTTTTTTTTTTTTTTTTTTTTTTACATTTTTATTTTAGTTTTTTTTTTTTTTTTATTTATTAGACGTACTCGCTTTTGATTTCATGGTGCGAGAAAAGGATTAAACATTTTTCACGATGCATCTCGTAGTTGCAATTGCGATATAAGAGCTTATCGACGCGAGGCGGAAGTGGTCTCGCGGTGTGGGCCGTGTTCGCTGGTTCGAAAGGAATAATCGGATTACAGCTCGGTACCACCGTGCGCGGGGTGCGGTTCATTGTGAACGTTGACTCGAGAGGGATGAAACCCACGTAGCTATACGCGGGCGTAGCGACGCGTTTCTCGTCGCGACAACGTCTCATCGAACCCCCTTTTCTACCGAGCACCGTGCGCACCCGACAATCGAGAGATCCGGGTGGGTCCCGAATGAATCTCATTCCGGGGCTCCGAACGCCGGCACGTGACCTTACGCTATTACATTATGTAATGTCGGTCCTTTTGCACGCTCCTGTCTGCGATGTCCTGCGATCTCTGCGACGGTCCTGTCGGGACCGCCGGCGATTTCGTCCCGCGACGTCGACCGGACGATCCCACGCGAACACGTCGACTGTGATCTTATCGATGATCCAAACTGTATAACCGTAATACGTATTAGTGAGTTTGATTTTTGCATAGACGTATAATATCTAGACCGCGCGGTCTCTACATCTCCCGTAGTCAGAACGCATCAAAAAATAGAAAGAGATAGCTGCTGTACGATCACCAATCTATCTTTTTCTAACGACACGTGCTAAGGTAAAGAAACCTTCGTTAATTGGGAAAAGAAAAGTAGAGGAGATGAAAAGACGAAGATAGAATAATGATACAAAGCATGCTATCTCTGTCTAATATTTGACGATTCCCACTCCTTAACACTCGGTCTAGATATAGGGGAAAGTAGGATAAAACCGGGTAGGCGGGTCAAACCGGGTATCTCTGTTTCTTCGTGATAAGTGCTACTGTCTTTGGCTAACTCGTGTTATTAGTTGTAGATTGATGCCATTATTATTTTGAGATGAACCGTGCTCACGTGCAAATGATATTTCTTTTTTGAGAGAAGTTCAAAATTTTTGAACCAAAAAAGATCGATATCGGGGCAACAATCGAATCGTTATGAATTTTTTCTACACAGAGCATTTGCTTCGGTAAATGCAGCATTGCATTCTGTACATATTAGAGAATATATCACACTAGTTTTGATCGTCACTTTGTACGCCGAAATATATAGCCACCGTGTTTGTTATTTTCCTTTGTGTTGGGACAAAACCGGGTACCTACACGCCTCATGTAATGAAAAGAGGAAAAACTCTTATCCTGACTTTGTCTCCCTGCAAAAAGCAGTGGAAAACGAAAACTATCACTCAGAAAAAAAAAACCACTAAAAAAAAACTTTTTGAGACCCTTAAAGTTAAAGAATTAAATAAGAAAGTCCTGCAGCAATATAGAACAAGAGAATATTTTTATTTGTGATTTTTGTCAATAGAATACATCTTTGTATTGTATTTTGATTAAAATAAATCTAGATTTCGTAATTGCACAGTGTTTTACATATTTTCAAATGGGTACCCGATATTACCAGGAATTTTGACTTCTCCACAAAATCTTGTTATCCTTGGTAATCGAATATTTTTTTTTCAGCAACTAGTATCATTTTCTTATAGTTTGAAGTCCACTAAACAGTACTAACGGTCAGCAAAATTTTTTTTACTCTCTGATTTTTTGTTGGAAAACAAATCCAAAAAAGTACCCGATTTTAGCCTACTTTCCCCTACTATGTCTATGGATCTTCGATGAAGAAGGTATTGCCATATATAAGTCTTAACCCATTATACTGTTATCGCGAACGAATACAGAGATCGTTTTCGTATATCTCGATAGCGTGACTCGATTTTTAGAGCTATAGCGGTCCCACGATGGAAACTGACAATTGACAATCGACGAAAGACGATTTTATCGGCGTAGCATCTCTCGCGTCGCTAATTATCGCGAATATTATCGGCATACGCGAGCCGCGTCGAGCCGAGTCGACTCGCATCTCGCTGAATCATCGGTGCGGCTTTATCCGATCTTTGAGGCCCCGATGCACCTGCGATCGAAGCGGAAACGATGCATTCCCATGGAAAGAAATCTTGCCACCCGCAGGAAAAACGGCTTTACGCATTTATGTGTCCACGTACGCGTATACGGCCGAGATGGATGGAGAGATACAGGGATTAACTTATATATATATATATATATATATATGTATATGTATATAAATATTTACAGGTTGATAACAAATTTCCACGAAAAGAAATGCGGGGCACGATAGATAAATATATTGTGTAACAGTTAAACACCTGTTTATTGTATTGCTACATTTTTTTATATTTATCTGCTAAACTAACAAAATATCGGATGTAATCATGAAATGTTGATCGATTTTTCTGGGAAAGAGAGAATAGGGAGACTAAAGGTCGTTTAGATCGTGGCATTATCGTTGACGAAACGATCTGTGCTATTACAGGTGAGTCATCGGCATGCGCTACCAAATCCTCCGTTATTGTTCCGCGCGACCCTTGTCATCGACCATCCTCGAGTATCGGGAGTAGTGATCTTTGTAGCGTACTTGACCTTAGAATCGTATGAGAAGGATATACAAAGGCAAATATAAAAAAATTTCATATGAGGATCTACGTTTAACATATTAAATTTAATACAACTCTCGATTGATTACCGACTACTAGATGTGTCAAGTGCGTCGAGAGCTATGCTTATTATTTCGCCGACATATAATATTCAGAGAAGAGATAATTTCATGGGTACGTCGATCGGAGAGATCGATCTTCTCGCACCTGTGCAATCATCGGAATGTTTCCCCGGGTAATATTTGATCGGTCTCTCTGACAGAAATGTGTTTCGACCTGCACCGGCACACATTCCGTCTTTTTTTTTTTTTTTTATTTCGTACGTAAGCAAATATGTGCTATTTATTGATTCTCGCAATTATTGACTCGGCCGAATATGCGTAAAACCGTTTTTAATTGCGCATCTTTCGATCTTTCGCACTTTGTTGTTATTTCTCAGCGATAAAGAACTTGTACTTTCACTAGATTTCAATTAGAATTCAAGTAAATGTCTTATTTAGTGCACGTCTTTGAGCAAAAAACTGTTATTCAGATTTGTGTACGTGTGTGCAGCACGGAGTAAACTAAATTCTCCCTCCTTTGTTTTTCCGAGCATCACACATCTTTCGTCGACGTCAAATAGATGATGATTACCCGAGAAAAAAATTCGTGTACGAAAAAGAATACTTTTATTTTGTTAAAGAAATTACGATGTATATTGCTATAGAAAGATAGAGAGAGGTAGACAAGAGAGAGAGAGAGAGAGAGCGCGTAGGGGGCGGGGGATGGTTTTCGTAAGGTCGAGCACAGTTTTGACGATAACGAGCGGATTTGCAATCACGACTATATTGTGCAGGATCCTGCTGTTAGCTAACTTCAAGAGGGATGAAACACAGGCGCCCTGAGATCACAGAGCAGGAAGCTGAATGTAGGATGCGAACGGAGGATGAGAGAGCGTCGCGTCGGCTCGCTGTTGCCATTGCAAATACTTGTCGTCTGTGTTGTGGGAAGGTACAAACTGGAAATTCCAAATTTGCAAAATTATTGTAAAATTATTTTCTCTTGTCTATTCTCATATTTTCGAATCGTGAAATACGTTTAACTTTCAATCGCTTGTAAGAATTCACATTTGTCGTTATATTATCACTTGTAGAAATTTACTTGCGGTCCGGTAATTTTTTTTTTTTTTTGGGGGGAAAAAATCGATTCCGTATTAATCAAATAATTGATAGATAAAAAAATACGCGCGCGATGAATCCTATTTCCTTTCCCTTCTGTATTTTGAATTTTCCAGAAGTATTCTTTATCGCGTTTTCGTTTACGAAAATTAAAGAATGCGAAATGTCGTGACATTTGTATCAGCTGGTCAAGATTTATCAGGCCAAGGCCGGTGTTACAATTTTTGTTCTTATCGCTTGTGCGACTGTTTCATATGGTCCACGTAAACGCGGAGGCGAGATAGATAGTACGTTTGTTAAACACTCGCGTCTTCGGTTGAGAAGCAGTGAACCGGATTTTTTTATAACGTTCCTGCTGTTTGCACAGCAGGCGGTTAGTGGTGCGAGCGAGGCGCACGCTAGCCTGCTTTCTCGAATTTGTATTCTTTTACGGGAGCTCTCGGGAATTCGGCGACAATAGAGCCACGTTTTCTGCTCGGGATCTCGTGGCGCATCCCAGTCGAACGCGAACAGGTCCGTAGGTGATCATTCTAATGATAATAATAGAGGTGCCGTATATATATACTTAACCGAGGACTTCTCTGTCTCTCTCTCTTTCTTTCTGAGCTTTTTTAGGAAACCCGCTGAGAGCTGAAAGCCTCTTTAACACGGCGTGTAAAATGCGGGCAGCAAGCGAAGGACGATCAATAGGGATAAAAAGACGAGGGAGTATCAGGATCAAAACTCGATATGTCAGGCATAGATAATAATCACGCCTATCTAGCTGCGTAGGTGTTTAAGTATTTCTAATAAAACCTATTATTAGATCATAAAAATTAATAACTGTAAAATATATCTAACAATCTCCGCAGCGTCAATATCTTTAAATACTCGCGATCGGGAGAGGAATCTGGAACCCTTCTAGGACACGTTATTAATTATCCAATTTTTTTTTTCTTTATTATGTTAAAAGATGCGGATGACTGCTGTACCGCTACAGTATATTTCTCGGTGATCGTCGACGGGCTCGGCTCTCGATCGCATCGATTAATGGGCTTGTATCTATATACGAACGGCTCGTGCAACGAGCCGCATCCAACCGTGCCGTCGCGTTGTCGCCTTCGATTTGTTCGGCACCGACGGGGTGGAACCCCGCGGGTTTGTGCCGCGAGAGGATACACCGGGCTCCTCGCGAGGAAGGACCTTTGTTCACAGTTGGCTCCGCCACCGGAATAATTCGACCGCCATTTTTCTCGCTTTATGCCGGGTAAGCGTTACTAATGGCTCTCTCGTTTCTCGAAGCAGCACGAACCGTACGAGAGGCCGGCGTACGGAGGTAAATTTACGTGGTTACGCGTTTATTTTAGTTAATAAATAAAGGCGCCGCGTGACTTTGCAAAATGTATAATGTGCATCCACTGAAGATGCACAAATTTTTCTGAATTTTTTTGTTTAATATTTTTCTGAATTTTCTAATGTTTAGATTAAATTAGATAATAATGATTAACAGGGCGCGATAGGAATTAATCTATCCAATACATTAGTTAATAAATAAAGACACCGCGTGACTCTCCAAAATGTATGATGTGCATCCACCGAGGATGTACAAATTCTTTTGAATTTTCTTATTTTATATTTTTTTGAATTTTCTAATGTTTAGATTCAATTAGATAATAATGATTAACAGGGCGCGATAGGAATTAATTTATCAAATACAGTATGATTGTTAATCGGTTTATTTTTCTACAGGCATAGAGCGTTTAAGAAGCAAGGCATTTTTTTACGGATCACGAGTTAGTATTAGGTAATAAAACATACGGCGACAGAACCGAAGACCAGTTTGACAGTTTCCGTGATGCGAGAAATTCATATTCATTTTGGGCGTGGACATATGCCTGTGTGTGTTGTGGTTTAAGCATACGTAGAAGGTATATATAAGAAAGAAGTAGAAATATAGTATATAAACGGGATACAGGAGAGCAGTGATAAAAGCCACCAGTCCATTCGGGGATGATTTACGACTCGGGCTCTTTGGCGCGGTGAAAATACAAACAGGTGTTCTTCGAACTTCTTCGAAAACTCCGAAAGAATTTATTTTATTCTATATAATTAGCATGAAATTGTATTATAAACGCGTTCTCTTTTCTTCTATTTAAAATAGAAAAATAGAGAGAGAGAGAAATATTGAAAAATTCATTTTAAAAAATTATTTTTACAAAAAGGCATATATTATATAATCCAAGTATGATGTCGCCTAGAATAATTGTGATAAATATAGTGCAGTATCTCTCGTATATACTCTTGTACAGGGAATATGTACGGTTTGATAAATACGAGAGTGCAAGAACGCCCGCGCTTTTTCCTGAATCAGGGGACGCCGATATCCGGATGTGCCCGGACTTGCAAACGAAGTTTGCGCGAAGACTCTCGGGCTCGGTAGGAGTTTGCGAATCACCGTTGAAATTCTATTCGGCAGTTTGGCCGCCGACAATAAGGTACCCCACTCGCGCGGCGCGCGCGACCCACCGTCTATCCTCTCCACCGGAGAGTGTATCTTCTATCTATACTCGCACACATACACACACATGCGTCGCCGTCCGCGAGGACCATGGGCGGGCATCATGGGCGGAGCTTATTCCACGACTCTCACCCCAACTCGAGACCACGTTCCCCGATCCTCACCGTGCCACCTATTATCACCTACCTATCTCGCAACCCCCTCAAACTGACACATATGTAAGTTCGTGAATTCATGTGTTGTCGCACTGCTATGATAGCTTTGATATTTTCTATCTCTCTCTTTCTCTACGCGAGATATCGCATCCTGAGGTTGAAAACGAATATCTGTCATTTGTAGCAATCAATGTTATTAGGCTGAGATATCAATTTTTATGATAAAATATATTAATGCATTGCTAGATAGTACGATGTCACAACTTGTGATATTATTTTATACATTGTAAGAGACTTCAATATTTTTTATCCAAAGCCCATTCCGAGAAAAAAAGATATAATTTGGTTGTCATTAAAATATGCGTGCTAGGCAACCGAGCTATCGCTAATGTGCGAGTGTTGGACTATCCCCACGCACAGGCGAGTATACGAGTCCCATCGTCCCATCGCGCCCATCGAGCGACGTGGTAGGGGCAGTAGCGAGAACACCAGTCTTCTCTTAGCATCGATCCGAGCAGGATGTCGTTCGATTCTTTGCGAGCCGTAGTTTCCGACACCCGCGCATCTGCGTAAACGAATGACGAATGATCGGAACGCACGATTAGATTATCGGACTGAATCGCGGCGAATCTGTGGGATAAGTTAGTGGCGAACGTTTGCAATACTTAATAGATACATGCGAGGACGAACGTGAGAAGAGACTGAAGGATTGCGCAAGAATAATGTAACTCGGACAAATCAACCCCTGATTAGTCTCGAAATGAAGAAGAGAAGAAGCATGTAATCGCGTCTGGATTAATAGCAGCGGTGTAAATATGAAGGTACGTTTTTTCTCTCTCTTTTGAATTGATCGATATATAAATAAATATTTATATGTGCAAACTTGAAATATCACGACTTTCCCTTGCTTTCAATTTTCTAATTTTTCGAGCAATTTTTAAAAATTTCCCTTGCTTTCAATTTTCTAATTTTCCGAGCAATTTTTAAAAATTTTTGGAAGACACTAATATATTTTGCAAAAAAAATACGTTGTTGAAAGATCAGCGTGTGATTTATCTTTTACAAGCTTGAATTTAAGAGGAGTATTTTTATCGCCATTTGAATAATTCCCGAGTTAGTTAAGAGAAAAAAACATAGTTCTAAATAAAATATAAATATCGAAACCGCGAGATCAGACAGGAAGAAGATCCGGTGGTTCACTGATGTATCCGGTAGTCCGGTAGTCTTCGCGCCGCGACGAGCCGGGGCCCGGCTTCATCTCCTCCACATTTCTCACTTTGTCAGCTCATCTACATTCTCGGCCCCGGCTCGTTGACGAATAAAAAATGGAGCCTATTATTCTTTCTTACCGCTCGCTGATTGCAGAAAGCGCATTCCAAAACGAGCAACGAACACGAAAATGGAACTCGTCAGTTCGAATACGCGAGTGGGGGGAATTTTGTCAGATCTTAATCTTTTCTTACCTACTCTTAAAAGAGGGAGAGAGAGAGAGGGAGTGTGTATGCACGTGGCGCGAGTTACGCATCTTGACATGCGTGGACGCAATATATGCTTTACGAATAATAAGCGCACTGAAATTAATTCATTTAGCTTGATTACACATTTAACATTTTAAATTCAAAAAGTAAGATTATTTCTTCTACTCATGTTAATAAAATTTATTCATCGTGCTTTTAATTGAATCAAATAAACGCTGTTGTTCTTTTATTATTTACAAATAACCGTAAAAAGATCGGGCATTTTCAAGGAGTCAGGTTGAATTTGAGGCTGCCGTAAATTATCGCTTGGCATGCAGGATTGGTTTGGTTTTCGTCGAACGATCATAAATTTGAGCAGGCACAATAAAGTCCCACGGTCAAGCCTGTTCCATCGAGAGAACTTTCATATATATAATATATATAAAATTCTTGTGTAATAAGCGGCGCTGCCCTATTATTCGTTCATTAACATCTCGGAGAAATGTGCATATAATACTCTATTCTTAATTTATTCTTTATTTCTATTAATTCGTACATATTCATGCGCGTGTATAATCATTCATGTGTTAATTCGCATGTTTAAGATTCACGTAGATCTATCTTGATCAACGTTCGTTTGAACGTTTCTATGTAACGCATTGCCTGCCGTTATTCGTGTAATTCGTTTCAATAATTTTTTTCACTAATCATCTCTCTCGACGAAGTATGTCCTTTCGAGAGCTCCCGAGCTCTCGAGAGATCCTTCGCGCGACACTTAAAACTCATCACCTGGCGCGACGGTATTAATAAATCGAGGTATCGCGACTCTCGGTGCGATACGCGGTTCACGAAGGTGGTTTCCACACGCGAGAAGACAGAGAAAAGTCACGAGACATAAATCACGAGTGGGAAGTTCAGCTTTGCCTTCGGCGAGTCATAAATCAATAGCTGTCCGGTTGTGCACATGAAATGATTACACTGGTACACCGCGTGTAGAACGAAGCGTAGAACACACGAGGCATCTAAGTGGCAACAGAAGACGAAGACGAAAGAGGCGGAAGAATCCTCGAAATTGGCCATCATCGTCGTCGTCGTCGTCAGTTTTCTCGATGTCAGGTGGCCGACGATAATCTTCGATGATTTTCGCGTTTTTTTTCTTTCTCGCACGTCAAAAGATATTTGTCCACCACTCTTTTTATTCTCCGATAGTTTGGAAATATTTCTTATCGGAGTATCTTTTTCACGTACATCGGCACGGAATTCGCATATAAGGGAATGAGAACGCGCTAATCACTAGAGGTTAATTAACCCATCGAATATCCCCTGGGGCGAACGCACAATGATCCTCACGTACATTATTCGCGTGTCAATTAATATTATCGACCATTACATATGAAAGATCTGCATAAACGACCCGATGTGAGCGCGTGCGACAGGACACGGCGAGAAAAATGCGCGAGGATCTGATAGGCGATATCTTCGCGTTTTATCTCCGGGTACAATGAGCGCCGTCGCGTTGTCGGCCTGGCATCGATACCGGAAAAAGAGTATCATCGACGAAGAAGTACACCGATGCGATGCCGCTCTACGAGTATAGAGATTGTTATTAATCGCAGCGGGATGCATCCGTACGATTTTTAATACGGCCGGCTCACACGAATCTCGATTCGACGCCGAATTAAATAATATATGTTTAATTCGAGTTATAAAAAAAAAAAAACAAATCGTGCTAATTTTTGGCACGATCCAATTTTAGGACCATCCATCGGTACGCGATTTCGTGGATAATTATACCATCGCACACAAACACGAGGACGTGGAATCGCAATTATGCAAAAGATACGCGTCGTCGAAGGCACGGATCGTTTATCATTCTACGCGTTCCGACGCGGCAGATCATTTCACTTTACCAGCATTAATCGGGAATTCGGAGTCTTCCTAGCCGAGTCTCTAGGACGTCTCTCACCGACTCGAGAACGATCCCCGATATCAACTCGCCTTTTTTTCTTCACATATTTTACGAATCGACTTCCCCTCCCATCGCGTTTCATTCGCGGCATTATTATTAATTATCATTTAAAAGTTATAGTAAGTTTACAAAAATATCTTTTCGTGGCACGTTAGAGAAAATAAAATACCAGCGCAATTTCTTTAAAGTTTCATTATATGTATATATAATAATGTATATATAATTCCATATATTGTTGTTCTTGCAGACCGAGATGGAGACGGAGTCCGAATGCGCGGATGACGTTCTGTGCCCGAACAACAATAACAACAACAATAATAACAACAAAAACAATAATAATAATACCAGCAATAACAACAACGTCGCCGTCGTGAAGAAGGGCGGCAACGATAACGGATACGACACTATCGAAATGGACTGCGGCGGCTGCGGAGAGAGCGTACGCGAACGCACCGTCCTGTGCGTAGGAGGCCGTACCTGGCACTCCAGATGCCTAAAGTGTTGCGCCTGTGCCAGGCCCCTGCACGATCAGCACTCGTGCTTCCTGCGCGGCATGCGGCTCTACTGCAGGCACGATTACGCCTTGTAAGTGCAAACATTTACATGCAGAATTTACATTCCCAAGAGGGTTAATCGCGTTTACCGCGAAAGCGATGGAATTTAACGCTTCCGAGATCCATTCGGAATTCTGAACGTCGCGCTTCGGTTCCATCCGCGACGGAATGACAGTTCGATCGGGCTACTTGTCCCCTGGTGCAGTCAGGGATTACGACGGGTCGAGTGTTATCGATGAGCCGAATAATATCCGGCTTCGGCGCCCCGCTGATGCGATTCGAGATCAAGTCGGCCTGAAGTCCGACGTTAAGACGACGTTTCTCGGCTACCGCGGCTACGAGCGATCCATAAAAAGAATTGTCATGCGTCGGACTTACGATGAATAAACGTTCACGACACGCACGTGCGACATCGCGTCACGTGCGATACACGCTGGATATCATCCCGCGCTCCCATGAAAGTTAAGCCATTAGAGATCTCTTGTTCCTTGGGCAAAATACAAGCACAGGTCGGATCGTCGATTGCGAACAGTCACGTGGCTTGGTCTCGCGCGTGGGTTAAAGATAGATATTTCTACAGATAGATATCCACATAAGCGCGCGTATATTGGATGTCCGAGATGCGCGCGCGAGAGAGAGAGTCGCCATTGGGTGATTAATGTCTTCCAATGTAGTCTGCATCTTCGTCTTCTTTCTCCTCTCCTCCACCTCCTCCCTTTCCTCTTTCTCCGGCACGGACCTCACGTATTGCCGGCTATTCACGTCACCGCGCATTCGTGTATCACGCATGCTCACGCACAGCACGAGCTGCGAGTCACGTTGACGTCTCGACGTCTCACTGTCTCGCGCGCGTGATCATGCACGGAAAAAAAAAATAAATATTAAGTTCTGACTTATATATTCGCGAGATCTCCTCCGCTTTGGAGGAGATATACGTTTCTGTCGCTATTTCGTCCTTCGCGCATAATCAGTCGAATTATCCCTTACATATGTATATCTTCATTACGTACAAGTACAATATTCGGGAAAAATTTTTCCAGCTCTGTTTAGAAGCAAAAAGTCAATTCTGAAGACTCTGACAATTGAAAAAAAAATAACATCCTTGGGTCGCACGATAGTTAATATTTCATCGGCGGTGAGGGAATATCACACGGGCTATCGTTAATTTATCAATGTCCCGAAAGCGGGTTACTTCGCGCTTCGTATACCAAATATACGCGTATGTGTATATGTGGGTGCCGAGTCACTCGAGATGGGACTGCCTAGTGTCAGTGTTCCGGAGGACTGAGGAATTCGCCTCGTAAGGCACCGAAGCCAGCTGCGATCCTCGAACCGCGTTCCTCCTTCCCTCCTTCATCCGAGCGCGAGACGCGCGGTGCTTCCTTTCAGACGAGCGAGGGAGCGAGAGAAGAGAAGAGGAGAGACAGAGAGAGAAAGAGAGAGAGAGAGAGAGAGAGAGCGTGGTCTTTGAAATTAATAAATATTCACCCGACCTCTCGGCGAGGCCCGCGCACCTTTACGCTTCTTCGACGCCGGGGCCTCCAATCCTTTTCCCGCTTTCGTCGCTTTCGTACGTTTCGACCGAAAAAAGAAGACCTCGGACGTCAAAGTGATTCGTGGTCCCGCGCGGCAAAAATCGCTCTATTAGCGGTTTCCTCCTCCACGAGAGATTCCGTTTCTCTCGATTCAGTGCGGTCAACGTAAAAGAGCGGTGCCATCGATGCGGGGACCACCACCTGTCGCCGCGTTATCTTTTCCATTTCTGCCGGCACTTAAGGCCGCATACCTTGAAGCGAAATAACTGCAATTCTTCGATAATGTTTAGCTGGGAAGCTAAACAATCGTAATTTTATTAGAGCAATAATATAACGCAGCGTGATATAACTCGCGCTCGTCTTCGATATCCTTTTAGCGGAACGTGCAAAAAATAACGATGGCGTGATAAGAGAAATGTAAGGAACCGTAGCGGGAAATTACGACGGTACGAGCTGCCTCGATCCGCGCTACCGAGACGCAATTAACTTCGCCTGCTGATATCATGAACCCGCCGATCCTCGATCCCGGGGTCCCCCGTGCCGACGGGATTCGAGCATGCTCCTCGCAGCGTCGTATCGTGCGCGCGGGTTCAGCGAGCGCCTAACTTAATCCCCCGTTGACTTATAGGGCCCGCCTATGTGGAAGAACAAATGAATAAATTAGGGCGGGGCCGTTTGGTAGCCGACGCGCGCGTACGGCCCTGAAGATTTATTGATACCCAATACCAGTTTGCGTCGCCGCCGGATATACAAGAGATTCCCCCGTCGTCCTTCTATCCTCCGATATGTGTTAAACCCTCGTTCTTGGGTTGCAGAAGGAGATAGATGGCAAAAAGAACGGCGGCTACTATTTACCTGAAATGACTTGTCGGAGATGGTGAGAAAATCTTATTTTCACGACGCGAAATCTTCATTTGTCTTTGAGAAAATACTCTCGCGTTAAACGCAAAATCGCGAGAATTGGGAAAATTCTTCGAAGAAAAAGTGCGTATGCAAATAAAAGTTAAACGCGAGGTAATGCGTTAGCTAGAGATATGACGAGATCCTTGTCTTTATTTCGACGCTTTAAAGAGTTATCGATCAAACAGGCGGATCATAGAGAGTCGAGATCGGTACGAACTAGCTTCTAGGCGTGCCCTTTGCGCGATCACCATAACCAGTAATATCCCGAAAAACATCGCGTCATGCGACGATGACTATGCAGACGCGAAGACTAATCCCTCTCCACGAGCTTACCATATTTTTCCATACAATAACGCCGTGGTCGATCGGTCGTTGATGCATTCTTCTACTTTTTCTCCTTTGCTCTTCGTGCTCCCTCCTTATTTTTCTCTCTTCTTTTCCTTCTCTCCTGCTTCACGATCTTTGCTAAATTCCATGTTCGTTTATTTCGCCCTGCTTTTTTTTCGCGGTGATTATTTTCTCGCCGTTCTCCTCGACGTGTCTTTTCCCGACATTCCTAGTACCGGAGATCCTCCGCTTGTTTCCCGTCGGCATAAATTCAAAGAGACCGTGTCATTTGTATAGGGAACGGAAGCCGCATGACTGAGACATCGAGATAATCTCGACGTAATCTACTTCTCGAATCGTGATACCGATCCCCAAAACGTGGAGGAGGCTCCATGCCTTGTCGGGAAGACATCGGGTGGCTCGAGTAGTATGTTAATGAGGACAGGATTGTGCCGCCGAGAGTCCTCGCGCTCGGTGAGGTCCCGGATGAACCTGCCGTCAGCGAGATAAAAATAGTTTTTCGCCTGTGTCCCCGCGATTAAATCCGATACGCGGAGACCGTGTCTATTAGCATCTATTCGTGGCCGACGCTTCTCGGCCCAAAAAGAGAGGCCCGCGTGAATCGATGGATGATGAATGACGGTAAGCGAATGATAAATGGATACCGCTATCGGCCGGAACACTTTTTGTCGGTGATTACGTACGTCAATTAATTTTCCTAACGCTTGTCGGAGAGTTAACTTCGTGGATGGATTCGTCACGCGCTGTATTCGTGTTCACAGAACTTTCGGCGCGAAATGCGCCAAGTGCGGACGTAGCATGGGCGCCGGGGATTGGGTGAGAAGGGCCAAAGACAGGGTCTATCATTTGGCCTGCTTCGCCTGCGACGCCTGTTCCCGTCAATTGTCCACGGGCGAGCAGTTCGCGCTTCTGGACGCCCGACTGCTCTGCAAGGCGCATTATCTCGACGTGGTCGAGGGTAACAACACGTCCTCGTCGGAAGACTGTGACTCCGAACACGGCGGTAAGGGCAGCAAGACGAAGCGCGTGAGGACGACCTTTACCGAGGAGCAACTCGCGGTCCTTCAGGCTAACTTCCAGCTAGACAGCAATCCCGACGGCCAGGATCTCGAAAGAATAGCTCAGGTGACCGGTCTCAGCAAGAGGGTCACGCAGGTCTGGTTTCAAAACTCCCGAGCGAGGCAGAAGAAGCACAGCGGCAAGATTAAGACTCAAAGTAAGTTCTTTGTTTATGCGGGGAAAGATATCCCTCGAGATTTTTAAACTAAGTCTATACTCTCGTGCGTGTTTGCAGTGCATCATTCGCCACCGATGCAACATCATCCCGTCGATCTATATTCCGGTGGGGTGAATGTGGTGGGCGCTTATCTCGGCGGTTATCAGGCGAGCAATGGTAGCGAGAGTCCTGGTAGTCCGTTGACGCCACTCACACCGTTGACGCCACTCACACCGACGACGCCGAACCATTTGCAGGCCCAATTCTGCCATCAAGCGGGATGATTCGACGCGCAAAAATTTTCTGTTACGCGTGTAATTAATTATTAAGTACGGAAAAACACTTGAGGAGAATACAATTATTCTCTAACGTATCTTGTATATACCGAGGAAATGTAAAGTAAATGCGTTTGTCGATAATATTATATAATATATAACGTATAAAAATGGTACAATTTCGTATTTAAATTTTAGATTAGATTTATTTATTCCACAAACTTGTAACAATTTATATGTATTTGCGATACAGTGGATTAAATTACTTAGACGAGAAGAACAATCTGGGATGACGCTGTTGCGTCGTTTTGAATTTTTGACGTGAATACTCTTAAACCTATATGTATAACACGAGGTTGTATATAAAAATGAATTGTAGCTTTTGTACATATATTTCCTGTAGGAAAGGATATGGAAATATTAAGAGAGAAATGTGGCTGAAAATTTGATATCGCACATTTATCGCTGCAATATTATATAAATCGTACTGTTATTAATAAAAACGCTTTTTATTGTTTCCCGTTGCTCCAATTATTCTTTTCGACTATTATCCTCCTCCGTCTTTTTCATTTTAGAGATCTTTTACAGATAATTAGACTTATTAAAATTTAATTAAATAATTTAAATAATTTAAAAAAAAGACATTGTGCATGGAAAATATTTAGAGGGAGATGATTGGGAGACAAAGAGCTCCTTTTCTTTTTGTTCAACGTGTGCAATCGTATATATTTATATATTTAGTTTAGTTTACAATATTTACATCACAGTACATTCATATTAAATGTTCTTTTTAGGCGACTATCGAGATACTACGAAAGATACTTTCATTTCAAGCATTGCTACAGGATACGCGAATATTCCGTCGACGCGAATGCGCCTTCGATGACGCGTATCCGTCTCTCTTTTACGCCTACGTTCGTTTTATCGTCCATGGAAGCGGTCGCCTTCCTGGTTGCATCATCAGGCACCAACGCGAGAAGAAAAAAATAGAAAAACGAAGAGGGAGAGAGGAGAGAAAGAAGGAAAAGGGAAGATCAAGTACAAAATTATCAAACACAACCAAGAGGTAAACAGAGAGATCGATTCATAAAATATAGGACGAAGTCATGCGCGCACGCACACATCATACCCGCATACAAGCACACATATTCAGATGCACACACGCACATTTCTATTTATATCCGTCGATTTTTTCGTGCGAACAATATTCACTTCGATAGATTTAACACCGAGAGGCATATGCGCTGCGAGTATAACTCAAAAGCGCGTCATCGAAGACAGCGCGACGATAAAAACTTGCACCTTGACCAGGATAAGTGAAACGATATCGGGACTTGAGCTTGAGATGCTTCTCCGCGAGGTCTGTATCCCTTACCTCTGACACTTTTAAATCGATACGTGTTTATATTTACAATATGTCGAATCGCCGGTGTCATTAAACCTCGTTCGGCATGGACAGCAGCATCGAATCTTGCGAGAGCTCGTCCATCGACTGTTCTGATCCTGAGGACAGAATATCAACGAAATCGCTTATGAATTACGTAATTAAAATCCCTAATCGATTATTCGCGGCGACGGTCTTCAGACGCGAAGCTTCTCGACACTTTGTAACGTTGCGAAAGAGATATCTTACCGTGATTATGATAAATGGAACCCGTGGGACTTTTACACGTGGCCGGACTAAGCTGCGGCTGTTGTTGCTGCTGATGCTGTTGCTGATGTTGAAACGAGTATGTTAGATGTAAGTTGATGTGACGACTGAAATCGTTGGGCGACGCGGTAGAGTTTGGTGGCGACTGATGCACTGTAAAAATTCCTATCTTCGACGCTCTCATTATAATTACAATTATTATCGTTAAACGCAGGCATGACTATGACAATTTTTTCGAGAGGGGGGGGGGCGGAGAGGGCGAGGAGGAGGGGAAGAGATAGGAGAAATGTGTTTAGTACGCGGTATAGCTTACCGTGCTGTCCTTTCATCTTGCCCGTGTGAAGGTGCTTCTTCTGCCTCGCTCTCGAATTCTGGAACCACACTTGCGTCACCCTCTTGCTGAGCCCGGTTACGTGCGCTATCCTTTCGAGGTCCTGACCGTCGGGATTGCTGTCCAATTGAAAATTCGCTTGTAGGACGGAGAGCTGCTCCTCGGTAAAAGTCGTCCTGACCCTCTTCGCCTTGTTACCACCCTTGTGGCCACTCTCCGAGTCACCGCCTTCTGCGAAAGTACCAATTAGCCGTACCTCTCTTCTCCTTATCGGCACACGATCCGATCCATCTCGATCGAAGCGTGTCAATCTTGCACAATAGAGGATCATGTATGAACAATATTTGTATCCATTATAAATAATATTAATATAAATTACAATTAATTGCGGTTATTTTAAGAAATTATTTTTGCTCGCAGGAGAAACATAAAACTTGCTGTTTTTATAAAATTTCAGATTATTATATGCGATTTCAAAGGATTGAGTTTATATGCTCGAAATCAGTTAAGGGGAAAAACTCGGACGTATAGCGGTACGTTCGTGCGACATTCTCACCATCGGAGGACGTATTGTTGCCTTCGACGACGTCGAGATAGTGCGCCTTGCAAAGCAATCGGGCGTCCACGAGAGCAAACTGCTCGCCGGTCGACAGCTGACGCGAGCAAGCGTCGCACGCGAAGCAAGCCAGATGATAAACCCTTTCTCTGGCCCTTCTCACCCAATCCCCGGCGCCCACGCTGCGTCCGCATTTTGCGCACTTTGCGCCGAAAGCTCTACAAACACGAGAAGTGGAACTCTCACGTATTAAGTATAAACTGCAGAGGTATCATCTGTAAGCATGAGTGTGTATCGTGATGTTTTTTAATATTTATTTCATCCTACGCGCGTTATAGTGGTAGCCAATATAGTCGACTCGATCAACGAGTACGAAGTGTAATGATAAGTGCTAGAATATAACTCGCGGACGCGGAGAAAAGAAGATGCAGCGAAGGTCGAAAGCGAAGATAACCAGAGAGAAAAAGAGAGATAGAAAGGGAAGAGGAAGAAAAGAGACTAGAAAAGAGATATTCATGTCGAGAAGCAAGTGGTCTCCACTGTGGCGCGTGTTTCGCGGCCGTTTATTTCGCGTTCCTTCTCCCCTTCCTTCCCACCCTTTCAAGAGCTTCAAGAAAGATGTGCGAGGTAACGCGCGCGCGACGCGAGATATCGTTCCTCGGGATATACCTGTACAACTCTGTGCTTTCCATCGGTTAATATCTGTACAAGACTGGCACGCCACGTAAAATTCGAGACTCTTGCGTTTTAATTAACCCCGGTACGCGCGCGCGGCTAGAAAATTATCCCCTCATGTTAATAGTATCGATATTCCGTGTAGCGGAGCCAGCTCCTCTGTTACGATCCCTAATAAAGAGTATCAGGCTCGCGTGTAAAATTTTCAACAGTGGAAAGAGAGATCGATTCTAATAATACACATCGCGCGGTAAATGTGCGCGTTTATGCGAGAGCGACCGCTGTAAACAGTAGCCATGTACCACGGCTACGAACACGGGCATTACCGCGCGCGATACACGCACGCATGCACGCACGCACGCATGCATGCACGCCCAGATGAATGGCTCGAACGAGGCTTGCACCTACGAGAAGCTGCGCGAAGGATCGTAGGATGGGCAGCAACCCGAGCGAAAGGACGCTTGTTCCTCCTCGTCGCGGATCCGCCGTACGGTCGCCCGTGTCGCCGAGTGAGAGTGTCGCGACCGATAATTAAACAACGACTAGACGGCCCATTAGCCCATTATCATATTCATGAACACGGAAAGTGCATCCGATCCGATACCCTCGGTCTCTCTCCGTGTTTGCGAACGCGCCTCCGGCATACATCGCGCGCTTTGAATATCTTACGGATTGCCACGCGACTACCTCGGTGGTCACCCCGCCGTATCCTGCTGCGGGGACATGGCCGAAAAACGTGTCCAGCGAGGAATAAATTCGGGATAAATTGCACCTCTACAGAGTATAATTTTGTATCGAAAATAATTTTATTTACTTTCTCTCTCTTGTCTCAAAGAAGATGTCTACACCGTGATACATTCTTTCAATCGCTTATATATTTCCTTATAAACGCAGAATTTAAAAACAAAGAAGAGAAGCGAAGTAGACGGATTCTATACTCACGCGACACTTTCCCGGCGAGATTGAATTTCGATCTGACGGCGCGATACACGCGTCTTAATCCTATTGTCCTTTAAGAGAGGCGGCTAATTCCTTGTTCTGGCGCTAAAGGTGATTCCCCGTCACGCCCACGCCACGGAAGCTAGTGAAGGATTTGAATTTCGAGTGACTCGTCCGCGATTATGACACGCCGGTTCTCCAAGTAGCCACAAAGAGGGCTGCATGTCGATGCGAGACAAGGAACGACACGGGGGCGATCTTAAGTGAAATCTTTACACGCGATACTTTGCTCCGTAAATTCCGCTTATTTTTTTTTCTCGATCTTTTTGCGCTTCGTGTCCATTATACCGTGCGCGAGAGGAGACAGGATGATTCCCCGATTCTTGTCGGCGATGGTTGTCGACGAGTCTACGGGTCGTGTTCGGGGATTTTGCCGACGACCGGGTCATCGTATGGCAGCATTACCAGGCAGAAAGCACGAGTCAAAAAAATTACGCGGCAGATTCCTTCGGACCTCCCGCATACTCTGTTCCAGGAGAGTCTGCTTGTCCGAGTTAACCCGACTTTAAAAAAAAAAAATTATATTAGAGAATCGTTCTTAGATAATTAACGACGGTATATCTAATTTGATTCTGTGATGATCGAAAAATCTATTGATCTCGATGGATGACTTGCTTTCTCGTTTATACAATTGCGCGGGAATACCTTCGCCGAGAATAAAAATGCAATATAATATGTATGAATTTGGTATACTTAAAGATTCTCTTCAAACGTATATACGCTATCGGCAGATGCGGCGATCGTAAAGATCGGATATCGCGACGTCTGATGTGAGGTTCGGTTGGTGCAATACCCAGGTGACTGAAGTAACTGATTGACAGTTGGATAAACACATTCGGGCAGACTTCGCCCGAAGTCTTCCGTATAATCGACGAGTCACCGCGGGTTCCGTCTACTTTGATCTCCACGACGTGTACGTCTTACATCGCTATCGATGCGCATCGCGCGCAACAAAAATATCCCACTTATTCATTCGCAGCAATGCTAACAAAAAGAAGCAGCTATTCTCTCTCCCTGTCTCTTTCTCTCTTCCCATCTTTTTCTCCTCTTCCATTAACACATATATCAAACTGATATCGGACTCTGATGTAATCGTCATGCAATAAAAAAAAAAAGTTATACGAGTAATATTATTTCAAGCGAAAGTGTCAATCGATAGTCGACTTACAGGGCATAGTCGTGCCTGCAGTAGAGCCGCATGCCTCTCAGGAAGCAAGAGTGCTGATCGTGCAACGGCCTGGCACAGGCGCAACACCTCAGGCACCTGGAGTGCCACGTACGTCCGCCCACGCACAGGACGGTCCGCTCTCGTACGCGCTCGCCGCATCCACCGCACTCCATTACATTGGGTGACGTTTCCGGACCGACGACCAGGCCGCTGGTGCCCTCGGGACAGGAGAGATTGGACCCGCCGATGCCGCCGTCGCACGCTCCGTCGCCGCTCGTGTCTTCGACTTCCGTCTGTGTACACAACAACAAAACAACGAGGTCTAGAATCACGTTAGATCAATTTGACATTTCTTTTAGAATTTTTTTTTTTAAAATTCACGTAAGAGGATAATAAGAATCTCGATACACGCAGAAAAATATTATTCTATTGCTAAGTAAAATGATTACTAAGTTTACTTTACTTCTTTTAAGTAACAGTTATTTTTAACAAAGAATTGTGTCTCGTAAATCAGTCGTCGAAGAGATAATTTTTCACGAAAAAAAAAAACAAGCGGAAAATGCATAGATTCTTTTTATCGCCCGCATAGTTTTCGAGAATGTCAAAAGAATGCGAGGTACGAAAACAGATTTACCGAGACACGCCTCCCTCGTTCGAGAGTCATTTCGCCGATGACGCCGAGGGTCTGCGAAACCGACGTTAACACCCGGGGTTTACCCGTAACAAGGCCGGTAACATAATGACCGAGAGACTGGTTGCTCGGACGGCCATTATGCGTCCCATCGGCGTTACCCGGCCTCCGTGGAACCCTTATTTGGGGGAATGTTGTGGGGTGTTATGGACGCGCTCGCAGGGTTCGTGTATATATGTATATGCGTGCGATCGTGAGAGGTGCCGAGGCGAGAACATGCATTTACACGCGCTACGCGTACCAGCACTTGGGTGAGACACGGGACACGCGTGTCACCATATTGAAAAGAAACGGGACGCGAGCGTATCCGTCTATGTCTATGGGGAGGACTCGAATCGCGCGAGTGATCGTTGGCTGCGCCCGACGATCGCTCGCTGCGGTTACGTTCGCTCACGATGGGGTGCCTTTGCGCTTGACCAGCTGCTTACCGGATCGTTTACCGGGCGACTTCGCAAACTGGAACCGTACGCCCTGTACCCAGTAAATCGCGGAAGCGCGCGAGGCTGCGTGAGATATCAGTGAACATGAGATAGCGATGTGATAAAAGAGAAGATGAATAAATGTAGGAATCGTTATCTCTCGCGATACGAGACGATTTATATAAATCCAATTGCAATATAATTGAATTAATTTATTGCAATAGCGTTGCAAGTCTCCGATGAACATGCTTTCCGTTTAAAAATATGACAAGATAAGTGAAAGACCGGAGAAATACGATATCGATATTACTTCACGTTTTATGCCTTTTGTGATGCGTGCAATTTATATTGATGCATGTAAAACGGCGCGGCTCCCGCTATATATCAATCCGAATGAGAAGACGTTATTCCTGTATTTGCATTTTATAGCATAGCCAGAGTATTAGCGTTCTTACGCGCGCTTGTGTATACGTGTACATTTGCGAACCGAGAGTCATAGGTGACAATAATAATTCCGAGTGTCACATGTAAAAGGCGGCATCGTAAAACGCGGGATTATACTTCTTCCGTCTAATGTATGCGCCTTCGAATATCAAAGAACTCGCGCGGAAAAATTTGCAGCGACGCGAAAAATGAACTCGAGATTTCAGATCTGCATAATTAAAAATTTTTGAATAGAGACTCGAGAGAGACGCATTACTTAAAATTGTTTCATTTCGTAGCTTTATTGTTATATAAATTAATGGCGATATCAATGATGATTCACACACAATTTTCTGTTTGGACGAATGTATTTATGTCATCATTAGACATATAAGAGCCTTAATATATATATATACACGCACACACACATTATGTAATTTCTTAATCATTCTAATAATTCTGTGACCGTACAAAAATATGTTTTTAATGTGGCAGATATAATTTTCGCATTGGCATGCGTCGCTACCTAATAAGCAATTCCTAGAGACCTCTCATAATCGGATTTAAAGATTTACCTATTCTAGTAATCCTGCTTTTACGATATTATTGACTCTTATTGGAAGAAGGCGTCTCGAGTACCTTTGCGACCCGGGAGAGAACCCGTGGTAAACTTATATATTTCGTACTTGTATTGAGTCCTCGTACACGCCTCTGTTTAGAATGGCCATGAGGCCCCATTCTTATAGCTCTCGAGTGGTTTCGGTTTCGGTTTCGGTCCCTTTCTCAACCGATAGACACTACCATGGGTATGACTTTCAAAGCTGAAAGCCTGTCGGCGGGGGGGCCTATAGGGGTCCCAGTACAGGCTTTCCGCCTTCATCGGCCCTTGCGACTCCGTGTCAATTTCAGTCCAGGACACGTTGTGTCCATTGAAACCGATATTTCTTTTTCTAGCGAGACTATTCTCCTAGGTATGCATTCGTCTATATAATAATCATAATACGATTTAACACGGTAAAACCGAAATCAACCGACGCGACGATATCGCGTGATATATACTCTTTTTCTATTTCTTAAAATTCTTAGACTTTTTGTTTTGCGTTTATTATCATTACGAATTTGATGACAATTATCTTGAGATTTATGAATAATATAATTGGTAATAAAGAATTATATTAGTGAGTATAGATTCGAAAAATACAGACTCTAATCTTTAAAACTATATAAACTGATATTTTAGGACGTTATAATAAACTGATCGTCGAGTGCGTATCCGATGAATTCGGAATTACATGTCCCAGGGAGTTTCCTCGCAATCTCGGCGCACGGAACGCAAATTCGTTTTCAGTCGCTAATGAACACGAGCGTTAATTAGAAACGAACACTTTGTAGTAGACTGCCCGGATGCGAGAAATGGCGTTATTATCTAATAGAATTTGGCTGCACACACACGGATTCTCGTTAGAGGAATTTATTAGAGAGAGAGAGAGAGAGAGAGAGAGACGCGTGCGCGACAGCGCGAGAGTTATGGATGTCGAATATTCGAGATCGTGTACTTCTCTATCAAATCCACTATTATTACACGAATATTGTTCGATTATTATCGAGCGCTGAGAATCGAGTTCTTTTCCCTCTGTCAAATGTGCTAACTTTTGCCAGCTTTCTCTATCTTTTTGTTTTCACGCGAAATAAAACTCGATCCATTTATCTGCCATCGATTAGAGCGATGTTAAAGACGAAGAAAACGGAATGCTGCGCGCGAAGGAGACATCCCGGTGTGAGAAAGAACGGGACCCGATGTCGATCTATCCCGAGAGGGGGATGGAAAGGTGGCTCTCGCTCGTTTCTTTCGCATCTACGGAACCCAGGTGACAAGTTGACAAAGTGGCCGGCTACATTTGGGTATATATCTTCGAGAGAGCGGGCGAGAGCGATCGAAAATAATGTTCGGGGGGGTTTTTGTGTACCTCGAGTACAGGCTTTCCCGAAACGGCCGGCGCGACGTCGGGTCGCGGCGAGGCGGGAAGGGCACGAGCCTCTCTTCACGCCTTCGTAGAAAAGGGACGCTCCGTCGTGGAAACGGATCCTTGCGCTCGCAGGTACAATAGACGATCCACCGATCCATTCGACGAGACATGGGATGGGTCCACGGCCACTCGAAATCCATTTAAATCGTCATCCGATTTCTGGTTTCGCACGCCACATTGTCGCCACCGCCACCACTACCGCCGCCGCCACCACCGCCGTCGTCGTCGTCGTCGTCGTCGTCGTCTCGGTCTCAGTCGCCGTCTGTTACGGCATTGTGCTGCGAGATACGGCCGGGGAAAGAAGAGATTCGTTTCACGATTAGTTCGGACCGCTTATTACCCGCGCGGATGCCTCCCGAAGCCGACGAGTAGCCGAGGGACATCGAACGAACCGTGACAATGGCGGGCTCGCGCCCGCTCTACATTGAATGGTTCGCGCTGCCCACGCGTGCGCGAGTGCCTTTCGTGAGCGTCTTGCGTGACGGTTGTTCACGCCCGTGCGTACACGCAACACCCCCGATGTTAGTATGTGTATACATATATAATAGTAGCCTCGGCGCTCCAATTGTGTGGATGAGAAGCCGAAGATATAATTCAGAATTTCTTCACGTCGGTTTATTAATAGAAAGTAGCGATGAAATCAAATCCGAATTATATAAAATTTCTGGATACATATATCTCTTAGTAATCTGCGTTTTCGTGTCACGCTCGGATTATCACATTATCACGTTATCCGCGGAGTCGCTCTGTCAGAAAGTACAAACAACGTCGGCGATTTATCGCCGCTCATCACATATCGCGCACATTTCAAGGATTCAATAATGATTTATAAAGTTTAATCTATCTAAATGGTCTGAATTTTTCTCTATGTTGCCAAAAGAATGTGCAATAGAAAGAAGCCTATGTGTAAAGTGGAGAAATATCGATTATGTTATGCTGAATTATATACCCTGTGTAACTCTAGCTAAGCGATAAATTCACTCCGAGCGAGGCGTGTCTCGCGATTCGCGTCTCGCATTTTTCCCTCCCTCCCTCCCTCCCTCCCTCTCACTCCTCCGCTTCGTCCACCTTATTCATCTCGTTGCTCCGCTCGCGTCGAGTCGCAGCACAGATGAGAAAGAGAAAGAGAGATGATTGAAAAAAAAAAAAAAAATAATAAAACGGAGTTGTATACATATAACTCGGGATCAGGCTGATGCGGCATTTTGCGCGCTTTACTCCGACAATTTACTGGACCACACGCGCCGCGGATGACGCGCTATCCTGTGAAAGGTCGCCTTTTCGCGCAACAATTCACGCGCCCTTCTTCCCGGCGTGGGACGACGTCGACCGTCTCCGCGACGTGATCTTACGCGAATTTACGATTTCGCTCGCGCGTAGGCATGCTTTACATACGCCTCTACCTACAGCCGGATGCGTAATTCATGGATACATATATCTCTTAGTAATCTACGAATGTTTAAGTTTAGCTATAAATTATCCGTGATCGCGATACACGATCGAAATGCCATGTGCGTTTTCGTGTCACGCTCGGATTATCACATTATCACGTTATCCGCGGAGTCGCTCTGTCAGAAAGTACAAACAACGTCGGCGATTTATCGCCGCTCATCACATATCGCGCACATTTCAAGGATTCAATAATGATTTATAAAGTTTAATCTATCTAAATGGTCTGAATTTTTCTCTATGTTGCCAAAAGAATGTGCAATAGAAAGAAGCCTATGTGTAAAGTGGAGAAATATCGATTATGTTATGCTGAATTATATACCCTGTGTAACTCTAGCTAAGCGATAAATTCACTCCGAGCGAGGCGTGTCTCGCGATTCGCGTCTCGCATTTTTCCCTCCCTCCCTCCCTCCCTCCCTCTCACTCCTCCGCTTCGTCCACCTTATTCATCTCGTTGCTCCGCTCGCGTCGAGTCGCAGCACAGATGAGAAAGAGAAAGAGAGATGATTGAAAAAAAAAAAAAAAATAATAAAACGGAGTTGTATACATATAACTCGGGATCAGGCTGATGCGGCATTTTGCGCGCTTTACTCCGACAATTTACTGGACCACACGCGCCGCGGATGACGCGCTATCCTGTGAAAGGTCGCCTTTTCGCGCAACAATTCACGCGCCCTTCTTCCCGGCGTGGGACGACGTCGACCGTCTCCGCGACGTGATCTTACGCGAATTTACGATTTCGCTCGCGCGTAGGCATGCTTTACATACGCCTCTACCTACAGCCGGATGCGTAATTCATCTGGTGTGTACGTCGCGAGTTAGTGTATATACAACAGGGAATGTAAATGTAACAAGAAATCTCTGATCCCCATCAGAAATCAAGATGCCGTTTATCCATAGGTTTAATATAACATTTTACCAAAGCTTTACCGCTTTATTTATTCGCAGCTTAACTATGTAGCTTCTGTTACGTAGACTTTGGTATTGTTATTTATTTATTCCTTTACTTAAGTTTCAGCGTTTTGAATAAGGATCGATTCAAATAAGGATTAGTTACGAAGTTTCGTCTACGATGGCTTGAAAAACTATCGCGCAAATATGACATATGGATTGTCTACCATTTGACAGATTGTTCATCACGATTATTAAGCTTAAACTTGCAATGTTCTTGGTTCGCCTGCTTTTCTTCGTCGTAAAATAATAATACGTTAAAGCTTGATTTATTTAATTTAGTTTTAAATTTAATGTTTAAACTGTACTTTACATTAAACTAAACTGTAACTCTGTGTGCGATATTGTATAAAATATTATAGAGAATATTTATCAAAATTTATTTTTAAGAAATTTAATATATTTCATATTATTTATCATATATTTATAAACACACTATTTTACAAACACTTATAAATATATTCTCGAATCATGTCATTCTTTCCTTGATTCCGATACCAGTCTCACTCTATATATTAAATATTTTGAAAATGTATCGAGTTCAATGTAGATCCGTAATTTTCTGCGAATATCTTTACTTTCTTAACTGCACATTGAGATTTTTATCATTCTTACGTTAGCATACACGTACCTTCATAATTCTTCCTCGAGAGAACGGTTTCCGTAGACCCCTGAATAGCACCGTTTGCAGCAGATGTCGGGTCTCGATATCGGAGTTCACGGTTGCCGTCGATCTCGCGACATCGCACGACGGCGTCACGACGCGACCGCGACACGCCAAGAGGTTCGCCAAGATGTAAGTACGAGATGTAACGACGCCGCGAACACCGCCGGCGATTCGTTAGTTAAGCGCCATGCGAGGAGGCGACAGCGACGCGCGAGAGGCGCACCATGACACCGCGTACGGGAGAAGAAGAGTTTGTATCCGCGCGATCCTCGGCTACAATAACGTAACTCCCGGCCGGGATGCTGCGCCACACATACTCACCCGTGCGACACACACATACACACATACAGACTCACCCGTGCGACACACACACGCGCACACGCACACGCGAGTAACCCCGTCTGCCGAATGGGCGGAACGGACGCGTGATGGGCGGTACGGTTCTCCGAAGCTGCGATTCGCCCAAGCACGTACGGTCCATCATCGCGGGGATGAGAGAGGAGAGAGTGCGTGAGGACACGAAGGTGGCGCTGCCACGCAGTTACAATTCGCACGCGCGTCCTGTCCCCACTTGACGTCGAATCGTCCGCGCGGATGTGTAATAGGAAACGCGGCGGCGCGCCGCGCTGATTGGCCGCGATCTCATCTCGATCCGCGGAAGAGAGAGCTATCTCTCTCTCTATCTCTCTCTTGTAGTCTCGCGTTAGATGACGATGAGAGAGAGAGAGAGAGAGAGAGAGAGGGAAGGGAGGAAGGGAGGAAGAGGGGGAGGGAGAGGGAGAGGGAGATAGGGTTTGGGATAGTTTTACTCTATACTGATGCACATGTTAGTTTACAAAAAAAAATAATACATATACATATATTACGTGTATGCACGAGCTGATTTGCGCGCGCACGCGATACGTTGTTAATCCGCACACGCGTAAAATATTTTCTTATCTCCTTGATATAGAATTGTAGAATCTCGTGTGATACTGACGATGAGGGTGAACTAAAGTTTAATGAATTATTAAGACATGATCTTTGTCTTATTGCGATGCAAAGTTATGTCTCCTCCGGAGACAACATGCGTAAGTTTCATTGACAAAACGCGTTTATCGCGAACGATCGTTTTGAACGGGGCATATGTGTAAAATCGACAAACCGCGGGCTCAAATTACACCGAACATGGTGCAGAGGCAGAGCGTATCTCCGAGAGAACGTTGATATGAAAAATGGTCGGCGGGCACTCCCGCGTGCGCGCGCGCGCGGGGCCCACGACGCACATAATAAATAACAATACGAGTCTGCCTACGGATACGGGGATCTGCATATAGGTCCTGGCCTTATACCTGAACTGCCGCGGCGCGTCATTAAAATTATTTATGAGGAAATAAGAATCCGAAGCGGGGCCCCCGAGGTTCGCGCGGCGGATATACCCCTCTCGCGCCCTTACGAAGGCGCGCGCTTATCCCCCGATCCTCTTTAATGTCGGCTAACGTCTGTGTGTCCCGGTGTTGTAGGTAGATTAGTAGATTAAACTCGGATGTTTTCGCTCTCGTTCCCTCTTTTAGGCCAACTACTGTGGCGCGCGTGATGGATTGAACGCGTTCTTTGTAACATTATTTGGATAAATGATTAATTTATATATTTAATTCTAGTATATGTAATATTATTTAATTCTTTATTAAATACATATGTCTTATTATAATACGTTAGAAAAAATGGTGTGCAAAAATAGCAATGTAAAATATCCGCTTATTTTATCATCATCTTTATGTATATTGTCATTGTTATCGATTATCATCGATAATCTCATAGCAAACATTTATCTGTCTATTCAACGCCTATTTGTAAGAAATTCGCATTATTCTCGCCTGTTTGCTCTATCCCGTTTGCTTCCCTTTCGCGCCCGTGTAACCCAATTAGCTACGCGCGTCTGTTTATTTACATAATCGGCCAACGGGGCATTTAACGTATCGATCACGTAATTATCGGGGCGAGGCCCATAGACCGGAGGCACGAAGCTCATTTCAGGCCGGTAAACTCTCGCGAAAGAGGCGAGAGCGAGGATGAAGAGGTAACGCCGTAGGAGGTGAGAAATAAAAATAAGAAGCCCGGGGAATTCTCAGCTGGGGGTCATTCCTGACGGAAGATTTTCGTTTCGGGGCTTCGTCGACGATCGACCACCTGGCCGTACATAGTTACACCTTGTAAACGGTCACTGTCTACCGCGGTCCGGGCAATAAACGCGACCGGAGCCGACTCGTGCTGGCTGGAGCGTATACACGGAAAGGTATTCAACCGAGATTAATCGCCGCAGATTTGTCACGGACATCGTTGCGGGAACGGCCGCTTATCTCTTTCTTTTTCTCTCTCTCTCTCTCTCATTTTTTCTTTTTTTTTTCTCTCGCTCGAACGAAACGGCATTTCGAGTGATCGGCGTCGACAGCCGATCGGGTCGAGAAGACAATTTTCAGCGATAATTAATCTTACTCCATTGCAATCTCGTCCATTGATCCCGTCACGGATCACGGCAGTTTAACGAGCTCGTGTGTATTTGGACAGTTATCTCAGGAAGTGTCTCTTAAGTCGTATACACGCGAGATATCTGACTCGTGTGTCAGCGATGTCGAGTGACGTGCCGATTTCGGCGTAACAATTTATTAATTTTCTAAATACGGGTTTATCTTTTTTTTTTTCAGAGGGAGGAGTAAAGACGCGGCAATTATGATCTTTTTCACGCGTTAAGTCTTCATTTACTCGCGATCAAGCCGCAATTAGTATCCCGCTGATTCTCAAGAAGTAGGTCCTCTCGCAAAGGGATCCTGAAGTGAGCGCTCTCCGTCTATTGTCCGTCGAATCGACGCCGGCAATTTTGCAAACGACGCGTCGAGTGATCGCGCCATCGAGTGACGAGCACTCGTGCGATAGAAAAACTCGTGTGCTCTCGCACCGTCAAATGATACTAGAGGAGCGAATCCGCGCGCGAAGAGCGATTCGCACAGGGCTCTTCGGTTCGGACGAATCGTAATACACTGTAAGACAGGCACCGACCGTGTGTTATTAATGCCTCTCCTCGACACTCCGATACCATAGAGCTAACGATTATTTACTTCGAAATATTTATCCCGTATCTCACCGCGCGTGCACGCCCATTATCGCCACCGCATGATAAATATGCCTCGTGTGAAAAATCGATTTTATTGTCGGTACATATACATATACATATATATAGATGTGCATTCTCGCGGGCATATTCTCGTTCGTACTCGCGGTTAACTCGCGCGAGAATAACGCTCGTATGTAACGTTTCGACGCCGAGACGCGGTCCATCGATGGACCACGGATGATGGATACGCCTACTCTTGATATTTCGGTGATCAATAACGCGCCTCTCTCGGTGCCATTCGCGCCGAAGGCGGGGAATCATTATTCACCCGTGCAGTCGCCGGTGAATAAATAATTTACCTCGTCATACCAGCGCCATCAGAATATCCGACTTTGCAGCGGCGACGGCGCTCTCTCAACGCCGGGGCCCTTTCCCCGATCCTTTGTGTTACCGATAATAATAAAGGTATGCGCGCGATTCGGTCTCTTCTTGGATACATCATCGAAAACGATACGCCGCGTGTAGAGACGCGAGCGGGAATCTATCCATCTCTTTCCCCGAGGGGCCCCGGGCTTTGCCGCGACTTCGCGACTTTGGGTCGATTTATCTCCTTTACGCGAGACCGGACCATCAACAGCAATCGGAAAGGCCTCGTGTATATGCGTATATGTATATATGTATATATATACATGTATGCGGGTGTGAATGCGTCGTTTGCTTATATGCGCGCATGCCTACGAACGAAAAGCTGACCGCGGTGTGGTCACTATTTGGGAGCATGATCGGTAGTTTCGATTCACTTTGGGACCCGATACATTATTATTTCCGTCGACGATAATTAGTGCCTACTTAACGACCGGCTCGCGCGTATCCATCTTGATCGGGGGATTTCTCCTTCTACGAGATATATCCTTCTCAGAAATTATGCATTGTCCAATACGCGAATAGAGTACGTTTCGATTAATTTTTTCGTGTATCATTTCGAGTCTTGTCGCATAAAACGATATAACACGATTTGTCAATGTGATCCGCTATATCTCTTATACGTACACGGAAAAAAAAATTTTCGCTACCATAGCTAATCATGGTTTGCAAAATAAATTTCTAAACTGCAGCAAAACGGTTTGCTGTTCCACTTAATAAATAGGTATCACAGCTAAGATGTTTGCTGTTGCACCTAATAAATAGGTGTCACAGCTAAGATGTTCGCTGTCCATATATTACGACTGAAATCTAGTTACCACACGCAGTTTTTAGCTACGGCAGCTAATTTTTTTTTCCGTGGTATATTTCGTAAAAAATACACGAATCGATCCGCAAAAACGACAATCGTAGACCGATCTCGCTTGATTCGATCGTCGGCATTATTTACTTACGAGACAGAGCCATATATGTATTATATATCGCCTCAACTATAACATTAGCGTGCAAGAGCATCTTATCTCGGCGCATTCAGACAGATCTATAAAATTTAAACCAGCCACATAAAACAGTCTCCGAGGTGGCCTTGTCTTGATCTTAGATTTACGCGTATTAAAAGGGAATTACAATATTAATAAGGCCTTTTTAATGGGCCAGCGGTCTTCATGTAGGAGAAACGTCCGCCTTCGGCTAGAGAGATCCTTCCTTTGAAACTCGTTACGATTTTGGTGGCTCCTACGCCGACCGGGAACGAGACAGCCGTAAATATCGACGGAAATATCGTTTATTGTTATTCACACGCATTATTACCGAGCCGACGATAAATCATTCCGCTCGTGTCCACACTTAGGAAAATCATTTCGATGCCTTTTTTTTTTCTTTTCATTTTTCATCAGTACTGTCAATATGGACCGGATAGTCTCTATACTCGATTACTGATTGCACTGGAAATCGTGAGATCGCGAATAACTTCAAGATTTTTTCCGCATAAAAAAATATTATAAAATAGAAGCGGATGTTTTTTTTTTATATTCGTTATATAACTAAATTTATATCAACTTAT